CAGTAGCGGCTTGTGCTATGGTGCACAGGAGCAGTGCACCACCTACAATTTTGAAAACTACATTGTTGTATTACTACAATATAAAAATATATTATAAACTCGAAATGCATTCAGATGTTATAGAATTAAAAAATATATTTTTAAGTCGAGAAAAACAAATGTTTTCGCACGTTATAGGTATGCCATTTTACACAATCACTACGCAGCGGCAGCGGTCATGTAGTATGGACGGGCAAATACAATTTGTGCACCAGTCGCGCTACTAGCACAATTAACTTTATACTCCGTCTCACAAGAGAAGGTACACGCTCGTCATTATAACGAAACTATAATAGCAGTTTTTAATTTATACTTTGGAATCTTGTTTTATTTTTTATAAGTAGGTATATTAATATTTATTTATATATATATATATATTATATTATACTTTTTATTTCTCTGATCCCAAAACCATTCTCTAGTTGATGTCTTTCTTTATCATATGTGGTCTAGTATGAAATTAGTTTCATAAAATTGGTTTCTTAAATCTAGTTTCTACTATGCATATAAGCATTCAGTACATGAGCTCGGTATATTCAAATAAACCAATCGTAGAACTTGATTTTAATACAGCTGCCGAGTTCATGTATGGAATACTTCTATGCGGACTGCCTTAGTGGTGTGCTGGTGCCAAAAAGTAATATTGAGAGACCAATACGTATTTTGTCTAGATATTTTGTCTGTCCCCATAATTTTTTACTCAATAAAAAAAAACACAGGTTAACTATATCCAAAGTTTTAATAAAAAAATAAGTGATATCTCAACAAAAACCCTCTTTCAACTACGTGTAAAAACCTCACTGAAAAGAAAAAATTCAAATTAGAAAAATCGTGATATCAAAAAGGGACTAAGTAATTTCTTAAATTCATTAGTATAGAAATAGTTTATAATTGTTTTTATTTAATGAAGAGCATTAATTTAACTTAGCTACACATAATATGCGCTTAAATAGTGCTTTGGACCCATGGTAATATTAATAAATTATAAAATGGGAATGCCAATATTCATGTCGGCATTGTATTGTAAATATGTGTAGCCGCCAAGCTAAGTCTAAGTTAAATTATTTGTATTAAATTATCGCACTCCATCAAATATAAACAATTTGTACACTAATAAATTTAATAAATTACTTAGCTCCTTTTTCATATCACAACTTTCTAACTTGAGTTTTTTTTTCTTAGCGAGGTTTTTACACGTAGTTGACGGAGGGTTTTTGTTGGGATATATTGTACACTACCGAAACCAGAAAAAAACGTAGGAAAAACGGGAAAATAGATACAATATTAAATAAATATTATTCAAGAAAATTTAATATAATGCATACGTAATTATTTTACCATAATGCGACATAATATTATATATTGTTGACAAAACAACGCTATTAACTAAACTCTACTCAGAATCGTTTTTCGTTAACAATGGTTAATCGTTTCGCACAGATATACATTAAATTTCCCATCTAACTTCCCAACAGCTCACCTATAACAGTGGCCCACCCAGGTGCGAGATATATCCGTCTATAGATTTCCATTTATTATAAAAAAACCCTGGGAATACAAAATATGACCTTCTTAAAGTACTACCCCAATCCTATTTTCTTCCAGAAAAGGTGCTACACTTGAAAATTGGAGCAAGATTTCTGGTAAAAAGTTGTTCACAGAAAAAAAAACATCATTGTTAAATTAGTATATTTCTCGCTTTACTCTAGAATCTAATAGTACCTATCTGAAATAACATGATTTTTATAATTTTCATTCAAAATTAAAATTAATAAATTTCAAACCCATATCTAAAAAAAACTTTCACAATACGCTTAATTCAATCTCGCTCCATTTTACAACTTGGATGAAATTTTAAAAAAAGCAACATTCTTTAAAATTTTAACTTTATTTATAAAAATAAACTTCAAGATGCAAATCCTAATACATCAATTAGTTGCTTATCAATTATCAAATATACCTTTGTCGGTAAAATCCGTTTTTTGTGAACGTTACTCAAGTAAATTAAAATCAATGTATAATTACAAACAAAACTTAATAACTTATCTCTAGAAAATAAAATTGCAAGATGGATAAATTATTTAGAAATTTTTAAAGATTTAAGACTAGAAAAGTTAATTTTTAAGATTATTAAATTTTTAAAAATTTCATTTTTTTTTATTAAATTAAAATAATTAAGATTTTTAAATATCAAAACAAAATCTTTAGTGTAAATATTTTTAAACTTGTTGATTTGTATTTAAAATTGTTTTTGTATTGGAACCGAGGGTCCCATGGTAGCTCCACTTATGAGGAGCGTAGTCAAGGGTACCTACTACATTTTTACTGGCTCTGGGCAAACAATGTTTTAGATTCGGCAATGCACCATGCACAGTATCTAAAAAAATAAAATGACCAACACTGTATACCAAACTGCTAACACATTAATATTTAGTATAAGGCGTATGACGTACATATGCCTATATTATAATACATTATACACTCATGCATAATGACGGATGTGTTATTATTGTCGATGAACGAAATAATTATTATATTACCGATAAGTACTTTTTGCCATCACGTATAACCTCCATACCAGCAGTACATACTACACTATAATCTGTACCTAATTATTATTATATAGTTCTAGAAAGTCAATGTGTTAATAAAAAAAATAATAACAATATTTTATATAATACTGTACAATCGCATTATTCTTTATCACGGGATGTTCTGTAAAAATAATAAATTATATGGTACCTACTTATTCCGGCGGATGTGGATATAATATTATGCATTAGATTTGTAAATTATTATAACAGATAGTAATTATTAATTATGACGTATTTATTATTATAGTCTATTATACCTATTGTATATATATATATATATGTCTGTCAGTCGGGTTTCAGGTCAAACGAAATCATAATAGTACCTACACCGTTATACAGTAGGTATACCTTACATAGTTATATACACTAAACTTAATTATATTATAATTTATATTATTTTATTTGATATAGGCACCTGCCTAACAAGTTTTAAAATTACGTCATCGTTTTTAAAAAAATCCCTCCCAAACAAAAACGTACTACCTAATAGCTTTAGATACTTGAAGTCAAAACAGTAGTAGGATCAAATTCTTAGGATTGATTTTAAATGAAATCCTATCTGCCGCCTATCTGCATGACAGGTTTTGCTTTGCCTTCTGAAAAGTGGCTCCGTTAAGGAAGGTAGGTATTAACTGGGGGAAGCAATACTAACGCCCCCCCCCCCGGTTCAGTGGTACCTACACGAGAGGAAAATAAAAAAAAAAAGAAAGATAGATTATAAGTGAGTATAACAAATGTATCATTGTGTGATGTTTTTGTATATTCAATAATAGGGCAGCCGTAGGTATAAAAAGCTGTCTTACTGTCTTAGAATGATGATTAATAGGGACACTATTATAGGTAATTTAATGTATACCTACCCGTAAGCAACTATAAACCATTGCTAACGAAAAAACGATTCTGAGCGTAGTTCAGTTGATAGTGATGCTCTATCAACAATATATATTACATAAGTCATATTAAGGTAAAATAATTAAATAACTATTAAATACTTTCTTTAATAATATTTGTTTAATATACTGATTTTCCCGGTTTTTTTACATTTGCTGAGAAAATGTTTGGGAAAATCGAAAAATGACCACCCTAAAGTACCTACCTACTTCGATTCCTTTTAGAAAATATGTTACACTTGAAAATCGGAGCAAGATTTTTAGTAAAAAAGTTGTGCACAGATAAAAAAAATAAAATAAACATCTTTGTATAATCATAAGCTTCTTATACCTACCTATAGAGTAAGAGCTGCATTAAATAAAGAACCGAAATCTTTCAAATGTAATGTTACAGTCAAATTTTTCGTTTAATATGTCATTTTTTGAGTTTTTTTATAGTATTTATTCGGTAGGCACTCTGTAGATAAAATTGAAAACCAAACAGAAATGCTAGACAATTTTACAGAGGGTTCAATTTAAGTTGTACTTACAACTCAACAAGAAAAAGTTGAGTTTACTGAAATTTAAAAAAAAAAAACCGATTTTAATTAGAGAATAAAGAAAAACAATCTTTTCTGAAATCTATTCCAGTATTTTTCAACATTTGACCTTGCGACTCATTTATGGTCATATCAAAACACACTTTAACGGTAAATTGTACTCTCTAGAATTGGAAAAGATAATCTGATGGTATCATGGATATGCAAAGAAAACAAACTGATTAGACTATTGCAGATCTAGTAATTAAATTATTACTAATAACTTATAACTAATTTACTAATGATAACCTGCTCATGATAAAAATAAAAAAATCATAAACTTTATCCCGTTATCCGTTATCGTGATTTAAGAATATCTTAAACGCATTTTTTAATATGACCATGAAAATTAGAGATATCTCTAATCTTCTTAAGTATGAAGAAATATTTCACAATTTTTACAGTAGAATTAATGAGTATACAATATGAATACATTTATTTGGTTAAAACATGTGAAAAAAAGCAATGAAAGGGTTTAAACGCCTAAATCCTCTCCCCCTAGGCTACGCCACTGAGGATTGAGTAAATTAAAAATTTTTACTAGATAATTAACTACACTATCTACTTCTAGGTATTTTTCAATGGTTTTACACATTAAATAAAGCTTTATTTTAAATGTTGTTTTGGGTAATTTACACTTAAAAAGATATTGCTTCCATAGCGAGTTACACCCAAAAGGAGTTAAATAATCACAATTTTCTTGTTTTCGTGCAAATCAGGATAATTCAGCTGGTTTAATATAAATTTATTATAGGTAACTGATTTGTGAAGAGTAATAATTTAATTTTTATTTTAAAATACCTTCTCATAAAGTTGTTTATTATTGAAACATTTTGAACAGGATAGGTGGATGAATGAAACAACAAGAAAAGATAACAAATAAGTACACAAGAGGTAGCTTTGGTGTGGCTTTGATAGTGGACAAAATGAAAGAAAATGATCAGAAGCAGAAAGAATTATAATGTAAACGAACATAGGAGGAAGAATGAAAAAAAGGTGGTTGGATGCAAGTAAGAATATGAGGATGGTGGGTGTATGAAACATGCAAGCACGATGTGGGAGATAGTCAATTGGAAGTTTAAAATGAGGGTGGCCGACTCCAAATAATCGGAATAAAGTCAAAGGAGAAGAATGAATAGAAAATATTTAAACTTATCATTTCTTTCATTTCATAAATTCCTTTTCATACAAGAAACTTTTGTACTTGAATCAAGTGGATTTGAGAAGTAATTAACCAATTGGCATGTTAATAGTTCATAATATAAACATCATTATTAATATTCTTAAATTATATTGCTCTTACCAGTTCAATAATAAATATTCTTTGAAAAATATTAATCAAAGAAAATTATCATCTAAAATAATAATACAATCATTTTAGTCGTAATAATTTAATTATCAAAAGAAAATGATTTGAATTAATTTGTGGAATCATCAAAATTTGTCAATACGTAACTTGCCAAGTACCTATTACACCAATTTAAAAAAATATACATATATCAGGTGATAAAACAAACATTAATGATACATTTAAAATTAGATCAATTTAAATTAAATTATAGATTTTCTGTTTTTTTTTGTAGAACATATGGAAGTCTTAGAAGTTGGATTTGTACGGTTTAACTCTGGTGTTGATTTCAACACACCAAACACTGGCTGTTTGGTTGCATCATGTGGATTGTCTGGCTTTTTCACTAAACTTGTCCTGTATTCTATGAACTCTGAAACAATAAGTTAAATTACTATGTGTAAGTGAATATTAATAATTTAATACAATACCCTGTGCTACATTATTTTTTAATTTAAATTCAACTCTTTTCTTAGCCGAATCTGTTTTAATTGACAGCCTAGAACTTTTCCTTGGAGAACTAAAATCATTTTCATAAGCATTACTTCGCTATAATAAATACAAATGACACATCAAAACACCATTATATCCAAAAATATAATAATTACAATATTAAACAAATTTACATACCACTTTTTCAAGAGCTTTATTTGAAATTTCTTCAGGTTTCAATAAGCCTATTTCTTCTCCAGCTAAGGTCTTTCTACGGTTTTGCACTAACTTTGTTTTCACATTATTTTTAGGCGTACCCCCATTTTGTACTTCAAGTTTCTTCTTAGGAATTATAATTGTTCTTCGTCTTAACACTCTTTGTTCAGGAGTCGGACTTTTCGGGCTTTTGGGGCTTTTTGAAATTTTGTCTGGTGTTGCCATAGACAATATAGAAATATTATTATCTTCATCTTTAATAGACTCATTGTTTAACTTTACTTTTTTAGATGCAGATTCATTAATGTCATCAGACAATGACCAACTATTTCTATGACTTGTGTTTACAACAGTAAGCACTTCATCAGTAATGTTTGATAAATTAACTTTTTTAATATTATTATTACCTAATTCCCCTGTCTGCTGTTTTTGTGCACTTAAATTTATTTTTTCATTGTTACAAACACTCCAACTTTCATTTAAACTTGAATTCTTATCAATTTCATTAGAACGTCGTTTGATTTTTGACATTACAAAATCGCCACTGAGATTTTTTTGATTCTCTATTACACTATCTTGGTTATGCAATTTTTTCTTAATTGCAGTATTAAGACTTCCGATTGGTATTTTATTCTGTTCATCAGGTGTATTATTTTTATTAGCATATTGGATATTATCAGTATCGGTTTTCGGTGTTGTTTTAGATAAATTTTCACTTTTTTTAACTTTTTTAGAGATAGACTCATCATTATTAACAGACACTGACCAACTAGTATTATGACTCGTGTTAACATTTGGTGATTTATGGGTACTATTAGGCAAAACATTTTGAACAGAAGGAGAATTTGATTTTTTAATATTATTGTTCTTTGGGGTAACTGATACATCAGAAACCTTAAACATTGGACTTTTGAGCTTTTTTGAATTATTTTCTTTTTTAGATGAACTACCTATTAATGACTTTAAATTTGGTGTTGATACTTTTTGTTGAATAGGAGTTTTCTCTAAAATATCAACATTAAAGCCTATAGGCACTAGAAGTGGAGGCTCATCATCAGTAACACATACAGATTTATCTATATCATTATTTTTATTTTCTTCCGATACTGTCCATGATCCATTTAAACTGAAATTTTCTTTTAATGAATTACTTTGCTCAAACTTTCTTACTTTCCAAATAGATTTTCCAATTTTTCCATGTTCTACTATTACTTCTCCCATCTTTTCAAGTTCTCTAAGACTTTTTCGATTTTCAACTACTTGGCGGCTACTTTTTTTTATCTGAGAATCAACCATTTCTAATTTTTTAACACCTTCTTTCACCATTTTAGATAAAGTTTTCTTTTTTTTCCGACTATTTAATTTCAGATCCTTCGGTTTATAGGGTAGAATACCCAATCCCAAGCGGTTATACCATTTTAGTAATTTAGTAATCTCTACTAAACACTTCCTTGTACAATCAACTTCAGTTACATATTTATTTAAAAGCTTTGCTATATCTTTAGGATTGAATTTAATACGAGGTATTTCCACACTTACATTACCAGCACGTGGATCTAATGGACTGTTAGTTTGTTCATTAGAATTATCATCTACTATATCAGCTTCCACCAATTCCAAATCATTATAAGATTTACCTGGTTTACCCATCTAGATATCAAAAAAAAATTTAATAACTATATTATGTAAATTATAAAATATGTTAAGTATTAGACTAGTCAACATGTGGTTTTCAAATTGCACCCATTTTATGTTCACCGAATTAATAATAGCTATCTTAAATAAACAAACATTTAAAATCCTGTTAAGTGAATAAAATTGGTTTATGAGGAAAAAAGTGTAAAACAGTGGTAATCCTGTATTCAACCTATAATGCTATTTTATGTTGAAGGTTTCAAGGCTATTTATTGATACAAATTTTGACTACAATAATAAAATTTAAACATCTATGGAACAAAAAAAATTAAAATAACATCAGTAGAATAAGCAAAATTGATTTCAAAAGCAACCATGGATAATGTAAGTATACACTGTGTTGCTCATGCCAAAAGTGTCACTTAAACCAAATGGCCTTGATACCATTAATATTATTTTCATTTTTTCATTCCATTGGAGTAAGTTCTAAAATTCGTTAACTTAACGATCATGTTACATTTATAACCAAATTGTAGTAAACTGGTGCATGGAAAAACTAAATTTTAATAAAAATGTTTAATTACTTTATGCCAAGCTAGAAACTTTTCTTCTAATATTTCCATATCAGGTGATTGTGACAAAAGATTTCTAAAGACATTTTGTGTCACTTCTTTAATTGTCATAGTATCATTAAGTTCAGAAATATAATGTAGAAATGCATCTAAAATTATAACCAATGCTTCAGAAGGTACTCTTCCCTTACTTACCTAAAAAAACACACAAGATATATTGCATAATTGTTACACAATTAAAAAAATAAAATAAATGGCCTACTTTAGCAAGTTCTTCTAAGAATATTTCTTGCAAGTGACTTCTTAAACTAAGTGTGAATAATGTAAGTGCGTTATAAAGCACTTCACTAAATTTTTCCAAGTATTCTCTATTCCAATCACAATTAACAAAAGTAAATAATACTTGTCTTAAGCAGCGCCTCACTAACATCATAAATTTATCAATACGATGCTGACTTATGGACATCCAATCATCTTTAATGGTAAGAAAAAATGCTTCCAAAAATAATAATTTCCCTTTATGAGATGTGCAACTATGAAAAAGATTACTTATTTTCTCAGTGGCACTTTCCTAAAATAATATTTTTAAATTATATTGTACTGTATAATAAATGCCTACTACAATATAATATGTATTTACTTAATTATTTCAATAAATACAAACATATAATCAGTTAAAAAAAAAAAACAATTTTATTAAAAAATATACCAACCTTTTTTTAATTACTCCATTAAACTGAACTTGTGGCAAGGTAAATAAATTGTTAGTATAAAATTAAATTTACATTTAATATTTAACAAAAATTAATTTACTTAATCTACTAGTTAATTAATATCTAAATTTAAAATATTTTTCTGAACATTTAATAATAAATAATGTTTATGTCCAATACTTCAGTAGTATTGTCCAACACTTCATTTTTCAGTATTGTTAAATGCATTATACAAATGCCCTAATAAGAATTTCAATTTTTTTTTTTTGGAAATCATAGTTAAAGAAGTTATAGCCATTTAAAGTATGAATTTGTATATACCTAGAGACCTGGTAGGGTCCCTCACTTTATGGACTTACTTGAGATTATACACTTATTTTAAATATTTAAAATTATAGATTTGTAGTGCAAAACTATACAGGATACATAACAGCTGACAAAACAAAGATTTTAACAAAAAGACCCTTGATTTGTTGTACATATAAAATATCTGTTCTAATAACTTTAATATATAAGAATGTTTAAAACAATAGGTATATTGAATATATTTTAATTTTAAAATTATAAAAAGGTCACACATTTAATTATATTCTCAAATATGCTCAAAGTAAATTAAGTATTCTTATTGATATCTAATTAAAACATGTTCTAAAAAATATAAATGTTATATGTTAAATAAATAATCTTTATAGTTATGTATAACATCTTCACTTAAATAATATATTTCAAATATTTACCTGAGGTAGTAGTTTATCAGCCATCCACATAAAATAAAATAATCCTCTCCATATAATCAAATAATCATTTAATTGAAATGCTAAAAAATTATTAAAAGAAACAAATTATTGGTATTCAACTGATCATGCCTATAATTTTGTAAAAAATCCAGAAATCAATAAAATTATCTTAAAACCTTTAAGTGAAATTTTACGAATAAATCATTTGAATAGGTACCTAAATTAATTAATCTTATTAGAGATAATAATATTATTTCATTGAAATAACCAAATAAAAGGTTAATAAAGATAAAACCAATTGTATTGTCATTCATAGAAGAACTAGAGACATAGGTATTTAGGAACTAATAAAAATATAAATAATATGCATATTCAGATAAATCTAAGGATTTCAGTGGCTAATAAAGGGTATTTTACTCAGGGAAATTTATTTAAATCTATGTTACTATATATAATCAACCTACTACCTAAACTATCTACAACTAGTACTATCTTATGGATGGGAAATATAGTCGGTTACAAAGGGCAATGAAAAGAAACTGCTGACATTCAGAATAAAAATACTGTGACATCCTAACATGTACTGCTAACATGGAAGGAACATGGAGAATACAGAATTAAAACCACCAATAGAGACCTTTACCAGATGTACCCAAAGTCCGATATCAAATCATCTATAAGATAGAAATGTTTGGAATTAGCAGCACATGGATGAAAACCCAATAGTTTAATAAAAAGTTGTCCAGTATAAAGGGGATGGTTGCAGCCACTCACATAAGTGAAAAGTTGGGAAGGTAGTAGAGGAGAAACTGAAAGTAAAACTGTAAGCAATGATAGACCATTGTCAACAAAAAAACGATTCTGAGCGAAGTTCAGTTGACAGTGTTAATAATATATATATATATATCATATTATGATAAAATAATTATATATGCAATATATATTTTCTTTAATAATACTTATTTAATATTGTACCTATTTTCCCATTTTGTCATATGATTTTCCAGTGTTTTTTCCCATTTATTGGAAAACCTTTAGGAAAATTAAAAAAATAACTCTTTAGAGTACCTCCGCAGTCCGATTTTCTTTTAGAAAAAGTGACATCATTATAAATAGGAGCAAAATTGATAATAGAAAAGTTGTTGATAGAAAAAAAAATAAAATGTTTATAAAACCAACATTCCTCACTCCATTCAGAATCTAAAAGTAATTACAGACATAATAGAAAAAAGACCTAAAGGACGACTATAGCAGAGGTAAATAGACATAGTTATATCATACACCGACAAATGTGAACTAGAATTAAGACTAGAGAGTGAAGATAAGTAAAAATAGCATGAAAAAGTAAAAGCTGCGAAAGCTGTGATTATCAAAAAAATAGAATCTATTTTAATATCCAATTATTAAAATTTAATAAAACATACCGTCTTCAGAATCTCCAGAATTATTCAATAGCAGTTGTTTTATTTGTTTAATACCCTCACTTCTAATCTTGGGATCATTAGATGCCAAGAGTTTTGTGAGTTCTATTTCTCTTGCTACCAAATTCACTTTGTCTTCTGAAGTATCGGTAGCCATTGCTTACAAAATATTTCAACTAAGAAATAAATAAATTCCTAATTTACGTTTAACGAACAACACGTGAGTTACACGAATAAAGTTTTGATAAATACGTTATCACAACGGAATACGGAATCGTTATTTTGAACCATGTTACTGGTAAGTGGTAGTGGTATATTGTCCTTGAATTTTTTATTTTTTTTTCCAGTAAATAAAATACATAATAATCACATCAGTTCAAGTAAATAAACAATATTATAAACATTATTGATAACACAATAAAATAATTTCAATATATTAACATTATACAATTTAATGGATTACACTTATAAATTACATCAATTGTTTCCCACATATTGTAATGCATCTTGACGAAGAAATTGTAAAAATGAAAAATAATTTTGACCTAGACTTTAATGTACTCTGCAGATTGTGCTTGGACAAAGGACATGAACTTCGTCCAATTTTTGATCATGATATTAATTATCCCTATCGTATAGAATCATGTGTAGGACTAGAAGTAAGTATACAGCTATCTATTATAAAAATAAATCATTAATTCTAATTTGACAATCATAGGTACGCCAGTGTGACCCAGGTCCAGTTAATATGTGTGTCAATTGTCTTAATCATTTAGAGAATTGGGAAGAATTTAAACAAAAATGTATTTCCTCAAATGAATGTATTCAAGAATATCTCAAAGAGTTAGAAGTGAAGAAATTAAGTTTGGCTATAGATAAACCTGTAAAATTGGAAGACCTAGAAATTGATGAACACGATAATAATTACGATAATACTTTGAACACCGAATTAATCATTCAAGACTCTGATAATGATTTGCCAATATCTAAGTCACCCGTCTCAATAACTGTAATACTAATGCTATTGGTTATTATTTCATAAATTACTTGTAATTATCATTTTCAGATTCGAGAAGTATACCCAAGAGCTGTTAAATTAGATAGCAAAATGTTTGTTGAAAAAAGTACTAAAACCACTAACAAAAAAAAACATTATGACTGTGGCATGTGTGCTTTAGATTTTATAGAAAAAGAACAACTATATAATCATTTAATTGAATACCATCATTTAGAAGAAAATAATACTCCACATTATTGCCTAATATGCAATAAAGGGTATTGTAGTTTTCAAATTTATCAGGATCACTTGATTGCAGAACAAGATATTCATGGATTTACTCAAATTCAGGTGTTATCATATATTTTAAATGTGTTTATTAAAGTATTAGACCCATACAACTTTTAGTTTTCTTTTATTGAAAATAATAATTATATTTAGCCTTTTTGCCATAAAAAAGTGACATTAAATGTTATAATAATAAATAATAATATATTATAATTGTTTAGGATAAAGTAAAAGATTGTATGATTGGATGTGGTCTATGCACTTGTAAATTCAGCCGATCTACCAGTCTTTATCGTCACCTCAGAAATCACGCATTGAATAAAGACCTTATGCCTCATTTATGTTCATTTTGTCAAGTTGGATTTCTTGACACATATAGTCTTTATTTGCATGCATCCACTGAACATTATGCTTCATCTGTTACTGTAACAGAATCTAAAAAAGTAAGTTTGACATAATGACAATATCTATATAAGGTACTTAATTTAATTTTACCTATTTCACTATTTCGTTAAAGAAATGCTCCGAAGAAGAGACAAATTCAACCAACATAAATCAAGAGAAATTAAATCTTAAAACTATGACCATCAACAATACTAGCAGTGACTTTAAGGGCAATAACTATGCAATCACAACTAAACGTAAAATAAAAAAACTGAATACTCTCGAAGACAAACGAGCAAAGTATCGTGAACATTACAGACGTTTTCAATCAAAAACATACATCTGTGAATTTTGCAATGTTGCTTATTCTCGGTTCTGTGATCTGTCTAATCATGATCGTACCACTCATGATGATATGCCTAAAGAATTCAGCTGTCCGACCTGTGGTAAATTATTTTTAACTGAAAGCCGTCTGCAAATCCATCAAAATGCTTTTCATGCTGAAAAAACATTCAGCTGTGATATATGCAATGTACGATGCAAGTCTAAGCACACCTTGCGAACTCATATGCGCAAACACAGTGGAATATTCACTTGTTCATACTGTAACCTAACTACTGCTAGTAACGCAGCACTTGTGTCCCATGTCCGTATACACACTGGTGAAAAGCCATTCGTCTGCGACATGTGTGGCAATTCATATGCTTCAAAATTGGGTCTTACCTCACACAAACGTACCCATCTGCAAGAAGCATTGTTTAAGTGCAACATCTGTGGGTACACTGGGACAAGCCATAGTTCGATTTACATACACAAACAGACTCATAACTCAGACAAACCTTTCGTGTGTGATGTTTGTGGTAAAACATTCAAAATAAAAGTACGCCTGGTTGATCATCAGAAGATCCATTTTGCTGCAAAAAATTATGTATGTGAAGTATGCAACAAAGCTTTCCTGGCCAGATATCAATTAGTACAGCATTCGCGTACCCATTCTGGCGAAAAACCATTTCAGTGTCACTTGTGTCCAAAAACATTTGCTCGGCGGGATGGACTTTCAGAACATATTAGGACTCACACAGGCGAAAAACGGTACACTTGTCCTGAGTGTTTCAGGACATTTTCATTTTATAAGAGTATGAAGAACCACAAATGTGTTGCACCCAATAATACCAGAAGTGAAGATAATGGAAATGTTAATAGAGAAGAAACAACAACAATTTTACCACTACCCCAAGACAACCCAAGTAGACCAACCTCAAGACCACCTACAACTATTTCAGAGTTGTCCCCTAATTTATCTCCGGAGCCAGGTGCCTCCTAAAATCCATGATGTTCCTACATTTGCTAACAATTTTCCCAGTTGAAAACTTAGTTCTTCATCATACATTGTAAGAAATACATTACTATAATAAATATCATCATCTAATCATTATAAATGATGATGTAGCTATACAGGTATTCTTTAAAGGTAAACCTATTGTGATATCTTGGAAACTTAGGTAAGGGAAAGTAGTAGAGACTAATTTGTATGGCGGCAACAATTTCAACATTAAAATGTGTTTAAACTAATATTCCATCTATTTATGGAATTTTTAATATAGATTATCATTTGAAAATTAAAAATAAATAGTTTCATACTAAAAATTATGGAAATAAAGTAGCATTGTAGATTACTTGTTCCCCAAATTGTCAAAACCAAAAATTAATACTATCTAGATATCACAATGGATGTATCTTCATGGATGCCCTGTATTATTAATAATATTTATATTTTTTTGAATTTTAAGTTTATATATATTTTTTTATGTGCTTGTCTATTCACATTTTATGTTTATCTGTTATTGTCACTATACTCTTCTAACTTCTTTATAACGGGATAAGTAGTAAGAGCTATAACTATCCGATATAAGGTAAACCTTTTATCTATAAGGCACTTGCAGCTTATGCCCATAAATACTTATGTAATAAATTATCAAATTATATTTGTTAAAAATATTAAATTTCAATATTTAAAAATGCATATTTGACATAACTATCCTAGAACTAAAATTAAAAAAAACATTACAGCTAAATAAGCGAGTAGATTACTGTTAAGTTTCAAAGTAGTATCATGTAAGGTTATAATAGCTTAAGGGATTTCTACACATTACTTGTTTTTGTTATTTTTTTTTGTCTGTTTCGTGTATATTTTTTGTACACTTTTTTCTTTAAATTACAAATATCTAATTCATAAAAAGCCAAAATATTTTAAAATTTTACCATATCTAGAAAATGCTAACTTTATTCAAAGAAAATGTCAGCCTTTAGAAATCTATGATCATTACAGAATTACAGAAAATATGAAATTAACATAGATAATAAAAAAAATCTTTATTATCCATAGAGGTACATAATTTAATTTATATCTGTATATTCAACGATAAATCTTAACTAACAAAAAAAAAAACGATTTTAAGTAAAGTTTGGTTAAACCATTAATATAGAATGCAGAATAATAGAATATAGTACTCTATACCTGTGGATTAAACATGGTTTGTCAAACTTAAATTTAAAATTGTATTAATTTGTAATTACACAATAAATTGCAATTGTCCATGTTTTTTCATGTCCAATTTTTAAGGAATTAAGCATATTAAGCAAATCATTTAGATTTTTTACAATGTTACATTAAAACACACATGAAAAATGCAGACTAGAAAGAAACTGGTACCAGGATATAACTCTTGAAGTAAAGTTAATAATCGGAGAAAGAGTTTTGTTGTTTTTAACCAAAAATAAAAACCACATTTCTTGCTATGCTAAGAATTAAAAAAAAAAATAACTATTCTAATGCATCAATCGAATCCAAAATACTAAAGTTTCTATACTATTTGTAAATGGAACAAATTTTCTAGTCAATGACTATATGGAAAAATATTGATTCCCATGTTGTATGGTAATCAATAGCAGGTACTATATCTATAGTGACCAGATATAAAATCTAAAAAAGAAGTACATTTTAAAATATAGGTCCTCCAATATAAAAAAAATCCCCTCTGTAAAAATTAGCAAATGTGTTACTCTACCCATTTTGCCCATATAGCTTATCTCCATCTATACACAATTTTCTTTTATAAAAAAAATCCGCTGAACATGGTAGGTCACATTATATACAATGGCTATTTTATTAATAAAGTAAATAAATATATAAATAAAAAATCTCGAATAGGGTTAATGGACATAGACATTTGGCCGTGGAAACAATTGGACGTCAAAAAAAAAATTATGTATACCGAGTGATCAATCTATTGTAAGACACTCATTATCTCGGAAAGAATTAAATTTTTTTAAATTCGTTTTAAAAAACAAGCTGTACTAAAATTTAACATTTTTGATAAAATTACATGAAGACAGTTTATAACATTACATTTTATTGCTTAAAATAATATAGCACATAGATCTTTAGATTTATTTTTATTTATATTAATTATTATAGATACGTTTTGACCAAACTTTTACATTTTTTTTCATTTCATCCTTGTAACTAAGATAATCCATTAAAATAAATAATTAAATAATATTTAAAAATCGAATTAAAATATTAAAATCACGATTAAAAAATGGTGGGTGGAGTTAGGAGGGTGAAAAATACTTTACGAAATATTCTTATATCCACCAAATATATAAAAACAAATCACACAAGAATTTTATATATAAGATAATATTTATATTATTATGTTGATATAAAGAAATATTTTGAACGATTCTGTGTAAAAATGATATTATAGTTCTACTTTGATCATTTTGCACAATTCTTAAAATTCATTTATCCGAATCAATATATTTTTTTTATTTTTTTTTTGGGTGGGGGAACTATTACCTGCTTCAAATAGCTTGTAGAAAGTAGCTCCCAGCTTGTACTTAGGAAATATGTATTATGAACATAATGTCAGAAGTTTTATAATTTATAAATATAAATAAACCAGCAAAAAATTTTACTACAAATATGTTTAATGATTAATTTATACAGAGTGATAAATCTATCATAAGACACTCATTATCTCGAAAAGTATTAACATTTTTCGACATTTGTTCTAAAGAAAATTTTACAAACAAAAATGACTATTTTAGAGTAAGTACGAAATGTATGAAAATCAACATAAAATAAACCTATGACTTATGGCTATATATGATATACCAGAAGTAGGAAAAAAAGTCCGTTTTTTTCAAAAATAAAAATTGAAGAAAATTAAACTTTTCTAACAGCAATTTTGCTCCATTTTATAATAGTGTCAATATTTCTAAAAGGAAATTTAACTGGGGAGTGACTTTAGAGGGGCCGTTTTTCGATTTTTTCAAGAGTTTTCCTAACAAATGTGAAAAACCAGGAAAATAAACGGGAAAATCAGTACCGTAAACAAATACTATTAAAGATGATACATAATACCTATTTAATTATTCTAGTATAAAATTCAATAAAAATTATTGACAAAGAATCAATATCAACTGAACTCTGCTCAGAACCGTGTTTTCGTTAGCAATGTTTAATCACTGCTAACAGATATACATTAAATTACCTATAATAATTGCTGCACCTGTCCCGGCCATTATCCTAGGACTTCTTCTTAATTATATTCCTTTACTTATTATAATATTTTATTATATATTATTTATATAATTAAGAAATTAACTTTTTTTTTTTTTTTTTTTTTTTTAAATAAAATTGCATTTTTTTCGGGATTCATGATATTTAAATCATTGTGTCCTTTAGAAACCATCTAGGTAGCTGTTTACGAAGAACTAGTTTACAGGAAAACTAATTGAAAATTAACTCATGTGGGTGCTCTAGGACGGCAAAAAAAAAAATAGTACTTTCCCACTTGTCCCAGTAGTTAGTACTTTGAGTTCGTTACGGTCACAATTATTGAAAGTATAAAATTAAATATTATATCAATGAAAAACTTGTTGTGATTTTATGGTTAGGTATGGATTCTGTGCATATATCTACTGGTAATAACTAGATTGCTGAGAGGATAACTGGTGTAAGTGTGGAACACTGAAACGTAGGTATATTCCGATGAACTGATAACAAAAAAAGCATTTAATTCCCCCTCTACCTTCCCAACTTGTCATATACGTCAGAGGCCCACCCACGTGCGAAGTATATCAGTATTTTTTTTTTTTATTCAAATATGTGTACCAGCGGATAATGGGGACGATATGCAACCTTTGTTACGGTGAGATGGGAAAGTAGAAGAGGAAAAATTTAATGTATATCTGTAAGCAAGGATAGACCATTAGCCACATAAATGTTATGGGCAAAAGCCGAAATCGGGGAAAACTCAGTAATGCCCGGAGTGCATGGATAACTCGTAAAAAAAAAAATGTTTAAAAAAAGGTAGAAAAATTCTTATTTATTTCTATAGTACTCGTGTTATTTAGAATTACACAAAATATTACAAAAATTATTTAATAAGATAACACGGGGAAATGCATCTATATCAATCGTCAAATATTTATTAATTGTTATTTATTACATCGATAATATGGTTATAACTGCAGATATTATTATTGTTCAATTATTGCACGTTGTATAGGTTTTTCGATAGCGAAATAATGTTGTGAATACCCATATGTCTTATACTTGTTATAAAGCACTCATACGTATATTATCTACTTCTATTTATTTTAGTTTAATTCAGTTCGTTTTTCGCAATGACCAACTAGTGTGTCTATTTGATTTAAAAATTAAATGAAATTTAAAAAAATTGACTGTAGTGATTTTATAAGTGATATCAGATATGAGGAACTGATTGAAAAAGTGGAAAACGCAAAAGCTAATTTTAAGAAAACACCTAGCAAATGCAGGAGACTGAAGAGATTTGACGTACTTACAATCGGTGAGTCAAAAAAATTAATTGTTCCACTTGACAAAACAAATAAAAATATTATATAGTTTGTTAAATCAAATGAAATTTTTGATATGTTACACACGGCTCATATTAACTGTGGTCATAATCGAATGGAACATTCATTAAAACAAAAATACAAAAACATAACTAGAGGTATAATTTTGCTTTTATTACAATTATGTGAAATATGCAAAAAAAAAATATGCCCATCCCAAAATGAGTCTAGGGATCCATTTTGTCAAAAACATTCAATTCTCGCGCACAAATAGATTTAATTGACATGCAAAGCAACAAAGACACTGTGATTTTAAATTTATATTGGTTTTCCAAGATCACTTCACCAAGTTTATTTCTTTGCGTCCATTAAAAACAAAAACTGCTTCTGAAATTGTATATAATCTTATAGATAATTTTTGTATAATTGGAGCTTCTTGTATTTTACAATCTGATAATGTTTGAGAGTTTGTGAATAATATTATAAATGATTTAGCTTGAATGTGGGGTGGTTTAAAAATTGTACATAGAAAGCCACGTCATTCTCAAAGCTAGGGAAGTGTTGAATGAGCCAACCAATATATTGAAAAAATTATTTATGCTTGGATGGAAGAAAACCAATAAACTCATTGGAGTGAAGGCTTGAGATTTTGTCAATTTCAAAAAAATAGTGCTTTTCACTGTGGTATCAATCAATCGCCTTATGAAGCAATGTTTGGAATAAAAACCCTACTTGGATTAAAAATGTCATCTTTACCTAATGACGTAATAAAAAAGTAAATGACGAAATTGATTTGCTAAAAATAATATAAAATGATAATGAAAATGAAAAAAATAAAAATGAAAATGTTTTAAAACAACAAGCTGAACAAATAGAAAATTTTAAAAGATCAAGGGGAATTGCTACCGTTGGGTTAGAAGTTCTAGCAAAAAAAACGAAATTAATGAATGAACGCAAATCCTCGCAGTTTCAGAATCTGAAACATAGGATAAAATGTTTATGATATGAATAATATCAGACAAACAAGGTTAATGGCGATTTTTGTAGAAGTTAAAATATTATGCATGTATGTTTAATATGGGCGCCAAATATTATCGCCCCGGGATGTCAATAATAGTTAGCATAGCACTGTAGATGGGTACCACAAATATCTATACTTTAGTCATTGAACTCTTTATGATAACAATGTTATCGTATAGAGTTCAGTGACTCTAATATACCCATGGATATTTAAACGGACGATGATCCAGGTACTGTTATCAACAATATTCATATTCGTGTATTATTAATAATTTGTCGTATGTCCATAATATATTTAATACGGTTATTGTTAGTCCGGGTAATGATAATTTTATTAATTTTAAACTGTGTAAGTAAATCCGAATCAGATAAAAGAACCTAAATGTACATACGCGACAAATGGACGAAAACGTAACGAAAAATAAAACAAAAATATTCATCAACTGGTGTTGTTGGGCGATTTACGCGCACGCCCTGTATCTCATAGTTGCGTTACGTTCCCTCTTGTCGAACTACCATCGAAAATATTAATCAATCTGTAAACAAATCGCAAAGTTTTGATGATAAATCCTCGGAATTATTATCGTATTGTTACTTATGTAAATATTTATATTGGTGTCCATCATTTATCTCGTTTTTAGTTTAAAATCGCATAACCGCACCGTGCCTATATTGACAGTAAGTTGTGTTTAAATAAGTAAATACATTCGCTTTTTTTCCCCGGCGCTTACATAATAACGTAGCCGTTTATCGTTTTCACACTGAAATAAAATATTATTGATGAACTTAACTCTGATATGACGATGAAGAGAACTATTGACTTCCATCTGAATGATCAACGGAAAAAGACCAATTTGTATCAAGCGATCAAAAACGATGTAAACAGCCATTTACAATTAAATAATGCTATTTACTAGATGTTCTCGATAAGTGTAGCAAATTACTTAACATGTGTGTTGGAGTAATCGGTAAACGGTGGAGGATAGTTTTCCATCGTGTGTACATCATGCATTTAAGCATGGTTATTTTGTCAACAATACAACTATATGCGTTATATACAACATACAATTATAACGTTTGTATATTATGACGTCATATTTATTTACTATACCTTACATACCACAATAAAAGACAGTTTTCTTCTTAGTTTAATTAACATATCAGTTTCCACATTTAATTCCAGAAACCGGCCAACCTTTCATATTTCTAGGCTCAAAACACTTTACGGTTTTCCCCCTATTAATAGAGCACTTGTCTCCTGTAATAACTTTTAAAATAAATTTTGATATCTGTCATTCCTCTCGGAGAGCGCTGCGAACTAATATGTAGTGTATGCTTACGGGCGTCTGTATTTCAAATAAATATATTATATTCCGCAAATGACAAAATACTATAATACGATATATAAATTATCAAACTATTGATATCTTATATTTTATACTGAGACCAAACAGGTACCTATCAAGTGATTGCATGCACCATAATATCGTTATTATGTTACATTATATAGCTATTTTTTTTTTGTAAAGTACGGATTTATATGTACTGTTAAATATTTAAATATTCTGTACTAAAATAATTATTAACATTATGCATAGCATTTTCATTATTAAATAAATTTAAATTATTAAATGATATTTATTGGCGGCGTATATTTTTCATTGGAATTTTCAAAATATAATTTTGTAAATGATTCATAAAATTTGAATTGGTGTAAGAGAATCTAAAAATATGAAATGAAAAAATATGCAACAACATACAAATTATTACTATATTTCTAACCATTAAAAACCCAAAGATAAAATGTTCATAATCTAAGTGAAAATTTCTAAAAATGTTAGGAGAAAATTTCCTAGTGACATATTTACTAATCAAAATAAGAATATGGTATTATGAAATATAATTCTGACACATAGTATTCTTAATTTAAATGTAAAATATTTATTGATATTTAAAAGTTTTTAAATTGATATTATTATAATTTATAATATGTGGATATGTATTAATTTTGTTAAAACAATTTTGAGATATGCAATATTTTTCAAATTATTTAGAATAATTTTTCCAACAATAACTTATTGAAAACATTTATAGTATACAATTACAAATAAATTTTTTATGGCACCCATTAATATCATAAATTAATTAATATGTTTAGTTGGATAATGGCTCTAGTACTGATGAGGAATTGTTTAGAGAACATTTACCTGCAACCTTATATCCTCTCAGTCATTATGCAAATGATCCTAAACAATTAATCAATGAATTGTTTTCTGTCGTTCGTGGTAAACGACTTGCTCGACTTATACCACCAGAGCTCAAGGTATAGTATTTTTTCTATACAAAACATATTTTATGAAGCTATTGCACACATAGAAAATCTAAAATAGTTTACTTCAATTTTATATACACACGCATTATTGGTTATTCTTTGATGGTTTAAAACAAACAACAAATATATAAGATATTGAATTATTTTTTAATTAGGATATGGAAAATAGAATAAATCCATCAAATTGTTGAATAACCATTCAGTTATCATAGAAAACAATTGAGTCAGAAATGTGAAAAAATGATTGTTATCCTGTTTGTTTTAATTCAATTTTTATATTTATAGGATATGACATTTGAAGAGTTAAAAGCTGACTGTTTAATTCAGTTGTTGTGTATGTCAAAAAAGCGAGTTTTGGCTACATTAGAAGGTAAATTAAATCATTTAGTATAGGTATGTATAAAATAATCTCATGTTTTATGAGACAATAATACTATAATTGCATTATACCTATAAATAAAGTACATAATACATTAATACTTATGGTTGATAAATTATTTAATTTTTACTATATAAACTATTATATTATTGTTTCTTAAAACTAAAGATAGTTACAATGAAAATTGTACATACATTTATTTTAGGTAGAGAAATGAATTCATCATCAGACTCTGATGATTCTGTAGATTATCAAAGAGAAAAAAAAGATGAAACTTCCCATAAGAGGTCACACAGAGAAAAGAAGACAAAATTATTGAAAAAGAAAAAAGTTGAAACAGAATCTGAATCTGAGGAAAAGGAAGGCAAAACATTATTAGAGATTTTAGAACTAGAAATGAAAGCAAAGGCTATACGCGCCTTACTAGGGCCAAATCAAAAGGAGGATAACAATACACAAGTTGAAGAAGCAATTAAAAATGAAATAATTGCAGAGAAAATAGAAGAAAGCAAAAGTGATGACAAGAGTTGGAGTGAGCGCTATGAAGAAAGAGAAGACGTTAAAGAAGTAGTTAAAACCAGCAGGTTGTGCACAAATATGAGACGTCGAATGCTTTTACATCAACAAAAAGTAAAATATATTTTTAATATTATATACTTTATGTTAAAATAATATTTCTAAATTATTGTTATAGATGTTGGCTGATAGAGCAAAAGCCAAGGTTGAAGAAACTGAAAGAATTAAAACTGAAGGTACAGTAAAATCAAAATTAGTAGAAAAATTGCCAAACGCGAGTTTCAAAAATGATGAAAAGCAATCAAATGTTAATTTACTTGAGAAAATAGATGTAATAAAAATACCAGGTGATTGTGAAACTTTTGAGAACATTAATGATAAACTTTTAAGTACAAAAAATGTACATGAAGGTGCAAAAGATACTTTTAAAAATAACAATAAAGCTATTAGTTCAAATGTGCCTGTAAATGCATGCAACACATCAACTGATGACGATTCACAAAAAAGTACAGATTTTGAACTTGTGTTAAATGAGTACACACAGAAAAATTCTAATTTAGAAATAACTATAAATGAATATTCTCAAAAAAATACTGATTTAAAAGAAGAGATTAATGAATGTTCAAAAAGAAATGATGTCATGGAAAATACAATGAATATATGTGCACAGAAAAATTCTGATATTGAAACAGCTATCAATAATTATTCGGTGGAAAACAACAATGTTGATGAGAGTATTGCTAAAGAATGTGAGGAAAACGATGCTACTGGAGAATGTACTAAAAATATTAGTGGCTTAAATTCATTAATTATCCAAAGTTCAAAAAAGAATGTAGATCTCAAAGCTCTAGTTAAAGAATACTCAAAAAGAAACTCTGACATTTTGTCATTGATTGGTGAATACTCACAAAACAATGTAGATATCCAATCCGTTATTGGTGATTATACTGAAGGAAACCTTAAGTTAGAGACAATAATTGATGAGTATTCGCACAGAAATGCTAAAATCAATACTATGATTAATGAATATTCAGTAAACAACTCTTACGTGGAAAAAATTATTAATCGAAACAATAGGAAACAATTATTAATTGATAAATATATAAAGACCGGAAAATCTATAGATATTGATACTGCAGAAGAAAAATCTGAACCAACTGATACAATTTGTAAATTAAATACATCAACAAATTTGAATACTGAAATTAATTGTACATTATTGGAAAAACCAGAAAAAGATAATAAAGGTGATGTAATTGAAAGTATTTAATTATTCAAATAAAAATTTAATTAAAAATTAGTTTAAAGTTACTATTTCTTATTTAATTTCATAAATTAATAAAAATTAACAATCTTTGATAGATTAAAATAGAGGTTTATGATCTTATATTATTCTAAGCAACAATAAAACATTGGGTAATGTCTATGTAGTGATTATTTTTGAAAAATACATATAAATACATTATTATTATATATTGCCTATCGAAAATAGTTTTTGAAATATTAATATTTTTCAAAATGATGACTGTATTATGGTAAATTAGTTACTGTATAGCAGTAGAGTTTATTAGGGATGGCTGTATTTTGGTATACCAAAATTTTTTATTGTGGTTCACTTCACTAGATGTTTTTAGATTTCAGAACGATTAGGTTCATAAATATCTGAACAAAAACAATATATAATTAATTTATTTCACCATCAACAATAATGTTACTTAACTAAACTCTATTCAAAATGAGATTGGTACCTACCTGGCAGCCAAGTTGTACGCATGATTGTTGCTGTGTTCCACAATGTGTGTTGCACAGACATATATCATCAGTGTATTTACATGATTATTGATAAAATAAAACCATTTTTATTTTAATTTTTTCATAAGAAAATTATTATAAAACTTATTTATTATATATTATTTTATACAAATAAAATATATAAATAAATATATTTTAGTTTTTTTATAAAAAAAATCTCAACAATTTTAAAATTACTGTCAAAAGAATATTTACAACTTATTATTGTATACTTCTTATTATGTGACTAATTAGTAGTCATAACAGTTCCGGTTTTTCTGTATTTAGAAATAATTGAACCCGCTGAATTACGAACAATACCTGACGTTTGCCAAATTTCATACATCTTTTGATTGTACGGCATACTCGGAGATTTCGATTTTATGTCATTATATGTACATATTGGTATTGTATATGGTCTTCTGACAACTTTATAACCACTTAAAACAAAATAATGTTTAATTTGCATATGCGAAGATTTTCTTTGTGAATATTTTATACCTATTTCGTCGTTTCAACTAATATTTTCTCTGATAAATTAATTTAAAATAACAAAGTAAAAACAAAATTATTAAAATGATCAATACTCCTAAATAAATATTTAAATAAAAAATAAATAAATGAATAAATGTGTCACCTGTAGACAATTTTGACTGTGAAATACCTGATGGTGAATTTTTAAATTTGAAATCGGTCATATAATATACTTGCCATAATACTCCAGGGGACGCATTTATTAATTTATTTATTTTTTACATATACATTTTTTATTTAGATATTTATTTACTATATTTGAATTAGGTATACTTAAAAAATAATATCAATTTATTTAATTAATCATTTAACGTTGGTTAAAATACATCGAAAAAAATGTAAATTGCGGGGAATAATACGTGGTGGTCAAGTCAAAATAGATAGTAAACAAAATATTGAGGTACTGGTTTAATTGATTTTATTCAAACGTAATACATTTGTAAATGTGTTAAATGTGTAAATATATTCAAATATTATAACATGTTCCAGACATATTTTCATAATGTTGTATTCATTATAATAATATTTATTTTATTTAAATACTAAGGATACAAGTATCTAAACAGTGTCAAACAAACCAGTACTGATATTAGAGTTTATAATATTTACTCACATTTCCTTCTATTGCCCACTTCAGGGATAATATCTACACTATCACTCATGGTGAATTTATTAACATAAAAAAACTTAAAAAAACACCAGAATGCGTTAAAAATCACGGTGCATATACAAGTGTCGACACAGAGAGTAAAACACAAATTCTGAAATACATTGAATGCGTTAAATGTATAATATTATATTGATATTTTAGTATTATACGCATATGTACACAATGCACACCAAGTATTTGATCGCGCTACAGACACACATTCCAGAGGAGCTCATGGCTAAATAATAATAACTTATTTAGCCATGAGTACACTGTTCATGTATATTAATTTCAATAGATATTTATCCGTATACCGGTACTTATCGGTATTTTGGTATACCAGTTCCTATCGGTAATTTCGGTTAATAATACCGATTCAAACCGGTATTGAACACAATATTGTACTATTGGTATTCGTTTTCAATAGTCAAGCTAGTCAGCCCTAGTATTTATAATTAGTTAAATTTCTAAATGTTCATATAACATTATATTTTGGTTTGTCATATTATTCAAAATGTAAAATACAATTTGTTATTTGTATTATTTTACGTTATATTAGTTAGCGTTTAATCTACCAGGAAATCAAAAAATAGTTTTTTATTTTTTGTATCATGTAATTTTTAATAATTATATCTTACCAACTAATTGAACTTATAGATATTGTAAAGTATAATATGCTTTTTAATGGTTCTTAACCATTTTCCTTTATAAATTAAAATTGTGTATTAACTAGCCAGAACTGTTTTCAGGATATTTTATCCTCCAAGGCTAGCTTATGGTACAGGCCTTACCACAAGTACAGACTTATTTAATCCTGATTTTGATTATTAGCTTTTTTAGTCCAGTCCATAGGCTACAGCCTATGGCGTTTGCTATTAAATACGGCCCTGTTACCAGCAATAATAAAAATACAAATTTTAAATTTATATTTATGAATAATCACTTCTTATTTATTATAATTAATCACATAAATTTAAAGTAAAAATATTGTCTAAATTTTTACTCATTATAACTAAAAATATATTTATAATTTAGAGTTTATAATATACTTGTTTGTTTTTAATTATATTTAGTATTCTAATAACTTTAATATATATTGTTACATGCATAAGTTTAAATATTTAATTAGATGTACAAAAAAAGCATAAATGTATATTTACTCGATGACTAATTATTAACTTTCATGAAAATTTAAATTATTATGAATGTGTATTATCTTATTAGAATAATATTTAATTATGTAACCCACCAGTACTGAAAACGCATGGTCTAAAACTGTTGAGCAATATTGTATATATTATATTATAGTTATTTAGGTAGGTACAAATAATTAGGTACTATAATTTTTTAATTGTTCAATTTTTATTGTAAACTTGTAGAAATAATTTGGAAACATATGTTAAATGTAATGTACTAAGTACTTTAAAGAATAATTTTTTTATAATATTAAAATTAAAATTTAATAAAAATCATACAATTTTTTTTTATAGTTTTTAATTTCATCAATATTAATTGTATATTAACTAGCTAAGTAAATAAACAACTGTTTTTATTAGGTAATCTGTGAAGTATTATAATTACATCAAGTATTATTAGTAGTTTTACTTTATTTGAAAATAAAAACAATAACTAATTTAAAAAAACAAATTTTGCAAAAATATTATGTGTATTGTTATTCAAGTTTTATATTTTAATATTTCCTACCAAATTTTCTTTATTTGAAAAGATATAACTTAGTTTGTTTAACTGGTATACTTTGTAACTGTTTGCCACGGATTAAGATATAGATTTATGTGTAGATCCTAATTCGTGCTGTCTACATACACCTTTATTTTCTATTTTTTTATATCATTTTCAAATGTATAAATAGGAATCTATTTTAAACAATAAGTTAGGAATCTTACGTCACATAATTTACAGGATCATCCTCTTTGATTGTTTTGACTGCCTGATTGTTTTTCAATCATGTGATATCCTTTATTTCTTAAATTTTAATTTTTAATATCTATGTCAGTCAAATAATATGTTCAAATCTGTTGTTCATGGTAAGTAAGTAGTTTCAGAAAAATTATTCAAAAATAACAAGGACTAAAGAGGAAATATAAATTAGAAACTATGATTATAGACAGTGGTGTACCCAGGAAGGGAATGTAGCTAATATGTCGTGAATAAAAATAAAAATTGTCTTCTCTGTCAAACTCAACTATTGAATTAGTAATTTAAAAACCGTAACCTAAATAAAAGTCAATTTGTTATCTATAGATGAAACTTTTTCTCTTAACTTTGCTGAAATATATGCATTTTGACAATATATTACTCATGTTTCATTTTTTAAGCCAATGTGAGTACATAACCCTTAACCTCGCACGTCACAGATGATAGGTATAAAATAACATAAAAGCACAAATATATGTAATAGATATATTATATTATGGGTGCATTTCACTTGGACGCTTACTTACAGCGTTCACGCTTATGAACCATTGTTCCACTAGCTAACAGACACAAACAATCGCTTTGCTTGCGCTACAAGTGGAACGTACGTGACCCCTACCATTAGCATAAATAAATTAATATGTAATTAATTAACTTGTCTATGAATGAGAACGTAAACCATGTTTATTGTTATCAAAAATGAAATTGATAAGATAATCCACAAATTTGATTTGTTTTTGTAAATATTGCCAATGGATATTATATAATATAACAAACCACTATTAGATAACTAAAAGATAACCTTTGTTTGATATCCTATTTTATTACTTTTTTTTTGATAACAATAACAATTTGAAGCGTAATTACTATTTTTTTTTTTTATAGTTATTTTTTAATAGTCGGATTAGGTTAGATCTCTTATGTATAAACCATATACAGCATGTACAAAATATAATTTATAATAAATTATTAAGGAAATAATAATAATTAGTAACTACCTATTCGATGTTTTCGTTAAGCTTATCTAAATACCATCATAAAACAATCTAGAAGCCAGTGCAGAAGAAACAGAATCAATATTTTATAATACAATTAAACATAGTTGTGTATTTTAATCAGAAAAATGAATAGTTCCTGTTTAGTCGATAATGAAACAAAGTCACCATTTTTAATTGGAGTGGCTGGTGGTACTGCTTGTGGAAAGGTATACTAAATTAAATTATTTTATTTTTGCACTTATTAAGTTATTAATTTTTATTCACCTAAAAAAACAATAACTATTATTTCAGTCAACTGTTTGCAAAAATATTATTGAAAAATTGGGACAAACTAATTTAGATGAAACAAGAAGACAGGTAGTATCAATTAGTCAAGATAGCTTTTATAGAGAATTAAATGCAGTAGAGAAAATCAAAGCCTCCAAAGGGCAATTTAATTTTGACCATCCAGGTATTCCTAAGTTAACAGTTAAATATAAATTAATCTGTATTTATTTTTAATATACTGTAAACTTGTACCCACTAAATACAATTTTTTTTTTTCATAAGCAAATTAAACATATTTTAATCAAAATTGTTTTACATTTATCAGATGCATTTGATGAAGTTTTTATGTACCAGACTCTAACTGATATCCAAGCAGGAAAAACATGTTCTATTCCAGTTTACAATTATAAAACAAATTCAAGGTGAACAAATAAAATTTAAAATAAATTAAATTAAATGTAGGTAAATAAAAGTTAAGTAAATAATGTAAAATTAAATTTTACATTTTATATTTATTTTGTTTTCAAAATAATATGTTAATTTATAAATTAGTATTATAAAGGTAAGGGATGGAGATACATTTTTACACTGTCTATATGCCTGACATATGCCTTACTATGGTTGGTATTGTAAGAAACACCCGACCAGAAAAACATCAACATACTTTGCCCAATGGGTGGGCAACTGTTGTAAGTGAGAAGTTGGGAAGGTAAGACGTAGATAGGAATTTAATGTTTTTATATGCAATGATTAATCATTGCTAACAAAAAACTATTTTGAGCAGAGGTCGATTATATATGTTTTAAAAGACCTATTTGGTGGTTGGTCTAACAATTTTATTCACAGAATAACTAAATAAATAAATATTATAATATCATATAATAATAATATAATATAATAATATCAAATAAATATTACGTATAGAACTAGCAAAATTATACTAAAATATATAATATATAATAGTATAATCAATTATAGATAGGTATTTAGTCTTGTTAATTAATTATTGAAATTAAATTGAAAAATATAAATTAGGAAATTGATTAAAGCCTGCACCTTTAGCCATTTTTTTTTTTTTTATCAAAAATACATTCTGTAATAACCTTGTATGTTTCAATAATTGTTCTAATTGTAGTGGTCTTACCAATCGTAATCTGGTGTATATTATAATATCAGCGGCTAAAATTTTTTAAAAGAGGCACATTATTTATATTTTTAGTAAATTAATTATAAATTATATATTAAATTAATACAAAATATATAAATAAGAATTGTAGTCCTGTGACAAGAGAGGCGCGTACATCTATTCCCTTCTCCTGGATCTACCACCATAACCAGGTGTTCCTATCTTACCGACCATGGTCAGGCGTATAGACATCAAAATTTTTAAATTTTTCATTTAAAAATTGATGCTTAATGAACCTTGAGTAACTTGAATTCATTATTATTTATTAATTTTTTTTAGTATTTTTTCATTTTCAAGGTATTAAACTGAGAAATAAAAAAAAAAATTAACTGTTGATATACAACTCATGTTCAATTTTATTTTAAAAATTTGGTGGATAACAACATTTTTAAAGTGATTTTACTCTGCCAGAGTGTATTCTGAGAAACAAGACTACAGTGTCAATTTTCCTGTCTGTCTGTGTAGAATATAATTACTAAATATATAAACATATACATATAATTTGTTGTATTTAATTATAGGAGTAAGAAAGATACCATTGTTATATATCCAGCTGATGTTGTGATAGTTGAAGGCATTTTAGCATTTTATTTTCCTGCAATTAGAGATTTATTTCATATGAAATTGTTTGTTGATACAGATTCAGATACTAGATTAGCTAGGAGAGGTAATTATTTTTAGCAGTATTGTTAAAAATTGGAAAATAGCGTTAAAATTCAAGTGACCGGAACGGGAATCGAACTTATGTCTCGTTTTTCGGGGCCTGACCTTCAACGTTATTTGTGGTTCTCTTAACTTATCACTAAGAGTATGTATGTTAATTTAATAATATATATTTGTTTTAGTTCCAAGAGATATTAATGAAAGAGGCCGAGATTTAGAACAAGTTTTAAATCAATATATGAATTTTGTAAAACCAGCTTTTGAAGAATTTTGTTTACCAGTAAACTAATAATTTTTATAACTATTAATTATTTCGATTCAAAAATACATTTTTTTTTTTTTAATAATTAATTTTTTATTGTAATAGACTAAAAAGTTTGCTGATATTATTATACCAAGAGGAGCCGAAAATATTGGTATGTTTCTTTTCTCACTATAATGTAATTTTACAATTTATTTTTCAACATTTGTAATTTGTATTCTTAAAACAAACAAATTAAAAATGTAAAACCAATAAGATAAAATTAGTTTGAACAAAGATATAAAAAAAAAAAGAGCTGATACTGGGGATGGAAGCTGCCATTTTTATAGGTGGGAAGTTGGGAAGGTAGGATACATAAGGTTATTTCATTTATATCTGTAAGCAACAATAAACTATTGCTTGACGAAAGATAATTCCAAGCGCAGTTCGGTAATACATAATTTGAAGCGCCATATTATTTTTTGCAATTTTCATTTAAATTTTATTTCAAAATACTTATTAAAGAAAGTTTTCTGGTTATTTTGGAAATTTTACCACATCTAGGTAAGTCATATATCATTATTATTACCAAGTTTTAAGTCTCTATGTACATTTATAACCGAATTATAGTAAAAAACTCTCAAAAATTAAAATTCCTTAAAAGCTCAAAAGTTTTGACGATGATACTCTAAAGAATTAAATCAAAAAGGAAACAAAAAAGTTGTCTTATGATTTTTTGATTAAATCATTTTTCTGGTAGAAAATGTCTTTCGTGGTTTTATAAAAAAATGAAATTGTGAAATTGTACATTTTCTTATATTTTTCCCACTTAATTGCTTTTATAAAAAAAAATGGTGTTAAAAATCAAAAAAATGACCTCTTTGAAGTATTATCTAGAGAACTTGAGCTTTCAGAAAAGTTGCTACACATAAAAATCGGAGCAAGTTTACTAGAAAAAAACATGTCCACAGACTAGAACAAAGAATAAAAGAAATAAACATTTTAATTAAATCAATAGCTCCCTCGTAACGCTCGGAATCTAAAAGAGCCAATACTGGGGACGGGTACAGCCATTGTTGTATGTTAGTAGTTGGGAAGGTGAAAAGGTGGATACATAAAGTTATTTATTTAATACCTGTAACTAACGATAAACTATTGTAAATAAAAAACTATTCGGAGTGAAGATAGGTTCTACACGTTTTGAAGGATAGTAATAAATACAATTTTCATCAAAATAACATATCATAGTAAACCAATTGATCCCTTGCTACACTCTGAATCTAATACCAAAATATTTTATTATACTACATTTTAATTGCAAGTTTATTAAATTATTTAAAGTCTAGCAGAATTACATGGAAAAACATGGATAATAGAATTAATACATATATCATTAATGAAATTAATAAATTATACATAAATACAATTTCATTTTAACAAATGTATAATTAATAAAAGAATACTATGTAATTTTTATTTTAAATTAATGTTTCACAGTAATTATTTCAAGATAACACTTACTAGGATATTTTAAAGTTATCTGATTATTTTTACAACTCAAAAAGTAAATATTTATTTGTTGATAATGTATAATTACGTAAAATATATTAAATGGAATGGAAAATTGTCACTTTTAAAATAATTAAAATTATAGAATTGCGAGTTACTTGCTTTTTGACCTTTTTGTATATGTATAAAAATACTATATTATTATTTATAAGCAGATGTTTTTGATAATTTAAAAAAATAAGAAGGCATTTATAATTGTTTATTGTACAGTTATACAATGTTCTCACAATATCCTGTATAGTGATCGTTAGTGCTTACCAGCAGTTATTTCTACTACAAATTAAAAAAAATTCTGTCGGTTAACTGACAGTGCTAACAAACACTTTACAAGATATTGTTAGAATGGCCTATGATTATTAAACAACTTATTTTACAGTTGCTATTGATTTGATTGTGCAACATATAAGAGATCTACTAAATAGTGAAAATAGCACACAATATGAACTAGCAGAAGGATTGGTACCAATCCACACAAATAATGTCAATGCATCTAGACTACATTGAACTAAATTTACAACAAATTATGTATATTAATTATTTCAGTCTACAAATTTGAAATTATACATAAAAAAAAAAAACAAACTAAAATTGATATTGTATTTAATTTTGTGCGAATAATTTATGAACATGATTTTAGAGTATTATCTTTATTATTTAAATTACATGTATTAAAATAAAAAAAACAATTGACTTAATTTTAACTCTTTGTATTTATTGATAATAAAGTTCAATATTCATACCATCATGAATTTCATCTGAAGATAATTTTTATTAAGGAAAAATATATTATATTATATTATAAATAATCATCTTTGATTTACAATTTTAAACTGTGAAAAATTATAATTATATAAAATTAATTTATGTAATGATTTAGTTCTTCAATACAAATTCAATAATAGTGTTTTTAAAATCTTCCTCTCCTTTACCTTAATTACAACTATTTGAGTGGCTACTTTCGTTCTAAACCTCTATTTAACCCAATTTCTCAAGTCACATACATTGGCTATCTTCGTATTATTTTCAATTATGTCTAACTACTCTTTTTCGGCCTTCCTCTCCATCTTTTTCTTCCTATGTTTATTTGCATTCAAATTCTTAATGCTTCTGATTCCTCTATCCTCATGACATACCTAAACCATCCGAGACTATTTTCTCTAATTTTATTTACTATCAAAGCCACGCATTTGCTAACTTACACCTATATTACCCCTATGTACTTCCTCCTTGTCCTATATTCTCTCATCATTCTATATAAGTAAAATTAGCATTCTGATTTATGCTATTCATTCTCAGTCTTATTTTTCACCTGCTATTCTAATATTCTTGTAAAACACGTCTTATTGGAATTCTCTTGTCACATAAAATACCTGACGCTTTTGTTCAATTTATAGAATCACACTTCATCCTATGTTTCATGTCTATGTCAAAGCCTCCATTCTTTAGTACAAAAGATTCAATCTCATCTATATACTAACTCCTACTCATCCTTAACCCCTTTTATTCTATTCTTCAAATCTACTGTTAACTTCTTCCAGATTTTCTATTAATGATATTTTATCTGCTAACAATATCCATAAAAGTACTTTGCCTTGTATTTTCTTCGTAACTTCATTTATTATAACTAAAAACCCTGTGCATACATACTACAATCCCAAAATTTTCAGTTATTTCACATACAATTGTTATTTCAATATATTTTCAATATAAATGTTGAATAATAATTTATAATTTAAACTATGGTGATGATAAGTTAGAACTAAAGAATCCAAATTTTATTAAAAAAAATATATTAACAATAGATATTGGTATATAATAAGAACTTGTTTTTTGGTGTTAATTCTACCCATAGTTATAGATAGAATGGTTACACAACAGGCAGTGATAACTATTAAAGTATTCGGTAAATGTTCAGAGTAATAATAATAACCTACTTAAAAAAACTTCTTTCATAGTAGTGTAATCTAATGGATTATTGTAATATAACATTCCAAGAAATTAAAGAATTATTAACAATTAAGATAGTTAAAATTAAATTTGTTGGCTAATTAAATTGTATATTTAATGACAAATAGCACAATTTAAGAAAATTGTATTTATAATTAAGAAAGTTTCGAATATTATTCACTTGGGAGCCTACAGTGAAAGAAGAAAATAATAATATACCAATTGAAAATACATCATACAAGATGTTTTGCCGCCATCTAAAACTATAGACAATAAATGAATAATGATCATTCTGTAACCATCTTATATTAAACTGCGATTATACCTAACCAGTTTAATAGCAAATTCATTAATTTGTTAAAAATGAATATAATAATTATTTTTAAGTATACATCCTTAACAATAATAATAAATATACCTAACCAAATTAAATTAAATATGTAAATGTACAGATATATAGTGGCATACTCAGGATTTTTTAATTCGACCATACTTATTATATTATATTTATATGCTGAATGTAGCACAAAAATCTGACATATGAAATAACTTTTTTAATATTTGTCTGCTAATAATTAATAGAGCCTTGCGTATAATTCCTACATTTTATATTTATTTTAAAAGCCAAAAAAGATAATTGTTTTTATAAAACCATTATAGCAATTTTATAAAATGTACAATATTTAAAATCAATTCAACAATTAGTCCATGATAAATTGTCAAGTTCAAACAATTTTATAAATTTAACTATTTATCAGTTGTAAATATTTTGAACACCAAAATTTTATTTTAAAATAAATTCATAATAGCTATCTTAGATTTTGTAAAAACAATTTTTATTTTAAAAAAAAATTATAAAATATGGGAATGATATTAGAAAAAACAAAATTTATTTCAGGTATCAGATCTTCATGTTACATCCTGCCTAAGAATGCAAGTAAAATAGAACAGTATTTTACTATAAAATGTCTTTTTCTTGAGATTATTTTACAAAATACACAATTGTGTAGTACAATTATTCGTACTTAGTTGAGTAAGTAGTCCAATTATGCAATGACCAAGGTGTACTGGGTAATATCTGGCCTACTGTTCAAGTAATTATAAGAGCTTTAGGTTAGATTAACTTCAATAAATAAACTATTAACTACAATTTTAATTTCAATTGTTAACGTCTTTTTAGGAATTTTATCATAAATTTGAACTGAAATCATACAAAACAAATTAGGCACAATACTCAGTTTTTATTTTTACCACTATGAACAATTTTTCTTTTTTAAACTAAATAACCAAAAGTTTTAACTAGTTTTAATAACTCAAAAATTCCAGAATATTGTAAAAATGCTACATTCAGAAAATTCTAATATAAGTCTTAATATTGGAAAAAACTGCAAGAATTTATGAAAAGATTCACCAAATTACTAAAAATATAAAACAATTGATAACAAAAACCATGATATCCTTGTTTTTCTCCATTATTCCTCTATTATCAAGAATAGTATAAGGGGACAAATAGCCTTTAAAATCCACCAAATAAATGAAATATATAATTAATAACCACTATTGAAATCTATTGGTCCATTCATCAAGAAAGGACCAAGTTCTTAAGTCGAAAAAAATTTTATTGTTACCAATATAAAAGTACAAATTTACAATAATAAACATTAGTTCACAACCTAAAAACAAGAAGTGTTCTATTGGGATAGCAGACTATATGGTCGTACTGTCCCAGTGTGCAATGATTATTATTTTTCAATTTTAACAAAACCATAGTCTTCCTAGATACGTCACTGCATACATATTAATAGTATCAGTTAATAGTTTTATTCACTTGTCTTTGTATGGTTTGCAATAATATAATAATAACAATATAATTAAAATAACTAGTTGAAAGGTAATACAAATGAATATGTTTTACAAAATATACTAAAAACAATACTATTTAGTTAGGGTTCAGTTATTTGCAATTTTAGTTCAAAAACCAATCAGTTTAAAGTATTAATAATTCTAATGATAAAAATGATCACATATATACTGGTGTTGAATCTTTCATCTGATGATTGAAAAAAATTGTTAATGGTCATGGTAAAATTGTAAGTACTTGGGTTGTAAGCAACACTAAAATGATATAAGCAATATCCTATACAATAACAAATAATTGGTATAGTTAAAAAAATAATAATGATGGTAAGACATATATAACAATGTAATCATGGTTAAAAGTTAAATGGTTTTTGGGTTCTACTGAATAACTTGGTTTATGGATTTATGATGCTTATGTAAAATAACCAGTCAATATGCACACAATATATTGAGCAAACAAAGAGAACTATTTGGAACTAGTTAGATTCATATTAAGAAGTAGAAATAAAAGCTTTACGTCATATAAATATATAGTACATAATCCATTTGAAATAATAATGTACAAATTAGAAACAGTTTGCCCATAGTAAAAATATACGTTATAATATTATTAGAATTTGTTTTGTTTATATTAAAATCACAAATAATGTATATTTAGAAATATTTGCCTAAAAGAAAAACTATCAACTAAAAATATTTTGATAGTCAGTACTGGATTCTACACCAGTATACATTTTTAAAAGGTATTAATTATACTAAAAGGATACAATCTTGTAGTCGTATGTGATCTTTGAAAATCGTGTACCATTTCTTCAAGATTATCTTTTCCCATTTAGTTCCAGTTTGAGCTGCAATTAATTTTTTTAAGTCACCAATTGTATCTTCTGGATTGCATTTTACTCTGACTTTTTTCCCCAATCTATCATTGCAAGTGATTTCTATCATTTTGAATTATTTTTAAAAGTACCAATCTTTAGGTAAACCTAATACAGAAATTAATATTTAATTAATACTTCAGATATACTCAAACAGACTCTAAATTAAATTAAATATGCTAGAAATATTTAAAATTCCGTTTTTTTAAAATTATTAACAATTTTTGTTTGAAAATTAAGTAGGTATTTTGATATTGTTTTAAATTAACAATAAATATAAGTAATACAATTTTTTTTTATTTTTTTATTTTATTTACGAAATATACAATCTGTTCCTTGAGGAACAATAAGAATATGTGGTAAATGAAAAAAAAATATAAACATGATGAATTGATGAGAGGAGTCACCCAGTGGTAACACTGCCCTTACTTGATGGTTATTTTTTTCTTTATTTATATTGCTTTATTTTAATCAAACAGTGAAGAGGTCTCGACACCATTTCCTTTTGAGCCTTCTGGGAGGATTCCCAGGAATAGTGAGAGTGGCAAGGTTCGAAATGAGAGGGTTGGAATGAGAAGGGAGTTTAGAGTGGAATCGTTTGTAAAAGGCTACTGCTTCTTCATGGATTGATTTCATTTTTAGATCGGTGTGTAAAGTTAGATTTGAGATGTAAGGGGGAGAATTTGTAATTAAGCGAAGGAATTTATTTTGGAAAGTTTGAATTTTATTAGTATTGGATATTTTGGCATTACCCCAGAGTTGAAGACCATAGGTCCACATCGGCTTGAACAGGGATTTGTAAATTAAGAGTTTAGTATTTAATGGAGTGTGTTTGTTGTTAGAGATTAGGATTTTAAGGATGCGGAGTCGTGCATTTAAGGCAAGCCTTTTAGTTTTTATGTGATGTGACCAAGTGAGACGACGATCAATTGTCAGACCTAAGTATTTGGCCGTTTGAGAGGAAGGGATTTGAATATTGTCTAGAGACACCATAGGACAGGGAGTAAGACGAAGAGTAAATGTTGTAAGGTGTGATTTGGATTGATTAACTTTGATACGCCATTTTTTATACCAATCAGCCATGAGGTCAAGGTGGAGTTGAAGATTGTGGGAAGCTGTGTGAGGATTATCATGGATAGGAATAATGGCCTTGTCATCGGCAAACTCCGCAACAGCTGTATTCAGAGAGGTGGGTTGATCGGCAGCTTAGATGTTATATAATAGAGGAGAAAGAATGCCCCCCTGAGGAACGGCTGCGCTAATCTTTGCTAAAACAGAAAGGGATGTGCCAACTCTGACCTGAAAATATCGATCCGCGAGGTAAGATTTGATTAGTAANGTAATATGGAATTGGAAGAGTGTGTATTAGGTAATATGGAATTGGAAGAGATAGGAATGAGCGGTACGAAAACCAAATTGTGTATTAGGTAATATGGAATTGGAAGAGATGCATAATATGGAATTGGAAGAGATGCATGGAAGAATTCTTTTAAGAATTAATCTTTCGAGAATTTTGCTGAAGAAGGAATAAAATAAAAACAAAAAATTAGGTTTATCAATATACTTTTTACCTTTCGAGACTTAAGTCCTGGTGAATTTCGGGTTCAAAACTTTGCAAATCATAAACATGGAAAGTAAAACTAATAGTTTATAATAGGTATGATGTAATTCAGTTATAATAAATATTAATAACACATTATACTTAAACTTTAAAATACTAGTTATATAGTTTTATTTTGGGTAGCTATGATAAGGATAATAAAAAAAATAAATAAACAATGACTAATCCGAAGTTAGAACCAAAATTAAAATACTTTTTTAAAAATTAAAATTAAATGTTTTTGAATTTATAAAAACATGAATTAAACTGTTTATAGGTTTGTCATTAATTTCTTATAATTCAATATGATTTGCGTTAAATAATTTAATTAACGTATTATTAAAATGTTCACAATCTCAACTGACATTGGTGTGAAAATTAATGACGTCGATGTATGAAACGTTACTATTATCTGATCGATCACATCATCAACATGAAACTTTTTCAAAAACAAATTTTAATAAATTATAGGTAGAACATTTATAGTAGACGTAGACCTATTTATGTGTAGTTTCATATTTGTTTTAATAATTTATTATGTCCTGTATGTTAATATAACATTTTATAATTAATTAATTAGTATATTTGCTTATTTTATTTGTACACATATCATTATGGCATTTATACCTAAAAATGTTATTAATAAAGCAGAAAATATTTCAGAACTGGTAATATTTTATAACATATTTTAAAAAAAATACTTTTATAATTAAAATATAATTCATTCTGTTTAATACAATTATTATTTTAACAGGTTGTAAAAAATTGTAATGTGTATTTACCAACAGCCTCTCGGTTATGTTTGATATCAACATTCATAGAAGATGGCTTGCGTATGTATTTCCAATGGTCAGAACAAAGCAAATATATGAATATGTCTTGGAATTGTGGAATGTTCTTAGCTACTGTTTTTGTTCTTGTTAATTTATTTGGACAGTTGGGAGGATGTATACTCATATTATTACAAAAACATGTCAAATTAGCTTGTGGTATATTATTTTTTATAGTCGTATTACAAGTAAGTGGACATTACTTAAAATATGTTTGATTTGTTGTGTTTAAATACAATGTATTAACAGTTTTTAACTCAGCATATGTCTTCAAATTATACATGTTAAAATATAATAACTATCTGTATCTAAAAATATATTTATTTTAAATTGTAGACAGTAGCATACGACATTTTATGGGATTTGCATTTTTTGCTAAGAAATTTTGCTTTAATTGGAGCATTGTTATTAGTTCTTGCTGATAGTGGAGTAGAATCAAGACCCTTGCTTGCTGGTATCCCATCATTAGGTAAGTGTTCAATTGTACTACATAACAATCTAAATATTTAAAAATGACTATTTTTATTTTTACAGGAGAAAACAAACAAAAAAATTACATGCAATTGACTGGAAGATGTTTGATCGCATTCATGTTCATAACATTATTGAAATTTGAATTATCATTTTTCCAGGTTTGTATTATTTAAATATAAATATAATTAGATATTTTATAAATATAAATTAATATTTAACTTTTTTGTTCTTAGCTGATACATGACTTTTTAGGTGGTATTATGATGTTATTAGTATTTATTGGATATAAAACTAAACTTAGTGCTTTAGTGCTAGTTTTGTTTTTATCGTGTTTAAATGTTTATTATAATGCTTGGTGGACAATACCAAATACAAAACCCCTTCGTGATTTTCTCAAATATGACTTCTTCCAAGTAAATATAATTTCACCTTTGCACCTTCATAAAATTATTTTTTATTTTTTATGATTTAAATTTTGTTTAGACACTTTCAGTGATTGGAGGCCTATTAATGATTGTACTTCGAGGTCCTGGTGGAGTGTCAGTAGATGAAAATAAGAAAAAATGGTAATCTTTATTGACTGTGAAATAAATGTTTAATATTATGATGTTATTTTTCAAAAACAAATATAAGAAGTTTGATTATTTAATATCATGCCTATTAAATATTTGTATATTAATAATAGAAATTGGATAAGTGGACAATATATTCTTGTACGTCATTTTTTGTTGATATACCTTCAACTTATGAAATTACCAAATATTTAAATTATTTAGTTATTGCTGCAATCATTGACCTCTACCGGTTTGGAACTAGATACAATTAATATTATAATTATTATATTTATTATTGTTAAGAAATAATCTCCATTTTTTATTTTTTACATTGTTTGGTCAAAATCCACAAGAAGGAAATTTACTTAAAAATGTAACCATTGTTGCTGGTACCATTCCCATTACTTTAAATTTGTTGCCCATTTCTTTTAATTGATTGTAGCCAAATGTTAATGATGCTGCTTCTCTTTCATTTTGTGTCAATGTTAACAAGTTCTTTAAAAATAAAATAAATAAATAATTTCAGGATTATAGATAAGTAGTTACTTACTACTAGATAGTTAATTATTGAATTACTTTATATCTCAAATCAATCATCATATTTTCTAAAAATGTATTTTGGTCTATTGGTCCAAAAGCTATGATATCAGGTCCAGCCACATTCTTTAATCTACAAAAATCTACATCTGCTGTTAAATCCACTAATCCAGGATTATTCAATGGATTAACTTGTTTATGTCCACTAAAAGCCTCCATTTAAAATATTATAGGTTAATAATCACAGATCATTATATAATATATATAAAACTCACTCTAAATGTATCAACTATTGGTTTATCATCTCCATAATCAATACAAAGAAATATACCACCATCCATTATTATTCTCTCACTTAACTTCTGCATTATAATAGCCGCATCAATTGAAACTTCAATTTCAGTATCATTTTTAAAATTGGAACACTTATAGTATTCTATCTATATAAAATAATGCAGTAATAAATTATCTACTTGAAAAATTATTCATTAATAAACATAAATGTATTCAAATATTCTAGTTATGTTAATAAAAAAGTTTATTTTATTAAAATAAAAATGTTTAACACTTAAACAAATTTGACAACTAAAAAATATATTTAATGATAATAAATAGGTTAATTTGTGTTCCCTCTTAATAAATGTATAGTAATATAAATGATAAAATAACATACTGTAGATATTAAATTTGATGCAATTGTAGATGTTTTGCTTAATACGTAATGAAATGTTCCACCTGAATTATCTATTAATACTTCACACCATTTTTCATTAATTTTCTAAACTTTTAATGAACACAATTACAATTATATTCTATAGATATGAATAATTTATAATTTATACTTGCTCTAAATTTATGTATTGGTAAAGCGTCAAAAAATTCTTGAGCTACTATAAAACTAAAAGTATTTCTGGGAACATCATTAATTGATTTATACCAAAATATTTCTTTCTTTCCGTATTTTTCAGATGTTATTCCTTGCTGATAATAATTTGTAGGCAAGTCTGTCAAAAATTCTGAACAGCACAATTTGTTGGCTTGTTCTAAACTGCATTTCTTACTCATTTCTACCATGTGTATGGTTAAGTCTAGAGTACTGTATTGAGTTTGTTTAAGTAACTAAAAAATTAAAACTTGCACTCTAACAACTATTTAGTATTATTTTAAAATATTAATAATTATGATATTAATTAAAATAATAATAGAAACTAAAATAAAAATTTGATTAATATTATAAGTGTACACACACTTTATTTGGTAAGGTTCAAATCTAGTTATTTTTATGCACATGCTATTGAAAAAGTAATAAATTTTAAAAAATTCTTTGCATTTTCATTTTTGGATTTAGCCATTTAAGTTTCTCTAAAGTTCTTGGTACTGTTTAAAATGCAGAAGGTATCCCACTGTATTCGCCAGAATTTTGTAGAGCTGTTAGTATTCTATTTGGAGCAGGCTGTTTATTGAACTATTTTTTTTGTTTTTGTTTTGTTTCTGTCTAAAAAACTTTTTGAACAGAAAACTTACACCAATTAAAAAATTATAAGGAACCTTGTTTTAATGCATATTGGATCTTGTTGGTGCATTGGAAAGTTATAAATTTTCCGTGAAGTAGTATTTTTAATATTTAAGCAAAACCGGAAGAACAGGAAAATTTATAAAAATAATAGTTTTATTATTTTTAATTTTGTTTTAATTCAGTTAAAATATTAGATCATAAGGATTTGTAGAATCGCAGAAAACTTATATTTGCTTTTTCTAGATCTGATAAAATTTTAAGCTTTTTTATGTTTAAGAATTTTTATTTGACATTATGTGAAAATCATTGTATGACCAAACATAAATGCAGGCAAATTTAACAGGAAGTTTATTATAAATTGTAATATGAGGCCAAAAAATAAAACTCACATATTTTGCAGGTGGGTGAGCCACTGTTGTAGATTAGAAGTTGGAAAGGTAGTAGAGGGGAAATTTAATGTAATACCTGTACAAAGCAATTAACTATTGCTAATAAAAATATTAAAATTTTAATATTTTTATCTAAATAGATGTCCCTCTCAAAGAAAAAAAATTGAATACTACAGCTCTAGAAAAATATGTCACTCGTTTTTGTTTAAAAGTGCACTATTTTGTAACAACCACTATTTTATTGATAGTTTCCAGAACATAATAATATAATACAATCATTAAACTAACAAATTTGAAAATTTAAATTTAAGAATAGATTGAGGTAAAATATAAGAAATCAAGTAAAAATAATGAAACAATATAAATATATACCTGATTCTTATATCGTAATGTGTTGGTTACTGCTAACAATGAGTTAACCAAGTCTTAACCTAGGGGTTACCAACTACTTATTTAGGGTGGCAAAAATTAAAAAAATATTAGGTCGCCATATATAAAATATATATATTATGTTTAATAGTAGCTAAAAAAATTAATATTCATTTAGAAGTCAGCGGTAGTGAAAAGGTTGAGAAACACTGAATTAACCTACAGAATTTTAATGATTTACAACAAATTTAACCGCTGTTAGCAACTGGAAATGTTAAAAACATGCCTTAGTATCAGCTTACCCTTAGCATATCCATCATCATGACACCAGTTCCAGGTCCAAGTTCAATTAAATTCACAGGAGATGGATATCCTGCTTTTTCCCACATACTCAATAACCAAAGCATTACCATCTTTAAATAAATAATATTAATTTAAAATGTATTATTCATTGGTATAATTATGTTAGTTTTATGCAAATAACTAATAAATGTACTTCAATATAACTTAAGAAGGCAGCCTATGTACACAAAATAAAAAAATCAATTAAATATTTATTATAAAATGTAATTATACTACAAATTATGTATTAATTACAAATATTATCCAGTCACAATTTTACAGTTTAAATTAGTAACCTACAATTTTAAAAATAACAGTTTAATATTAAGACTATATTTTATACAAGATGAACAATCTTAAATAAACTTAATTACTTATGAATATTGATCCGTGTATTGAACATGGTTCCTATTGATTTTATTAAAATATTTAAAAAATGTTAAAATGTACATCAATTAAAAACTTTTGAAGTAGTATTTAAACTATAAGTTATACGTTATTAGACATTGACGCTTATTCATAACACACAAATTTTTTTTTTTTTTAAAATCAATATAACTTACTTCTCCATAAAGTTGACTTATTTCAGGAGATGTTATAAAATCCCCTTTAGACCCAAAGACTTTTCTACTATTATAGTAGGTATTCAATGATTCACGCATATATTCAGCCACAGAAATTGGGCCATTTATAGTTATTTTGTCTTGAAAATATTTTGTTAAATTACGTTCAACTGGTACATTTTGTTGGAACGTGGTAATAGTTCGAATAATCACAGTTGGTCTTACTTTTAAAATTTTCAACATATTTGGAATGACTAAAAACTATGTAACTAACCTAACCTTTCATTATTCTAGTAAAATGAAAAAAAACATCAAACAATTTAATTTTAACAGCCGAGTTTTCTCACTTTTTATTCTCAAAATTGTTCAAATATTAATAATTATTAACGAAGAGATGGAAATCAAAAAATGTAACCATATCTTATAAACATGGTTATCTACCGTAGAGTTTATCTATAGTAGATAATCGTGGTATTAAACATAGAGCATAAATGAACACTATACGTTTATAGCTTACGTTTTATAAGCTAAATTAATTGTTGAATTGAAATATAATAAATTATTTTAGTACAATAGTATCTATTATTCATTAAACAAAAAAAAAACAAAACACCTCAGTTAACTAATCAATCTTGGAACATTGATAAGGCAAGGCCGTAATAAGATCGTGAGGCAAGGATGGCCTATACCCTAGATCATATACAATGGATGTAGCTATGCATACACCGAATTGTGTCCAACATTATCCCCACCACTTTTAAAATTTTATGATACACGACACAAATGCACATGCCCAAAAATCAGCTGGTGACTTATGACGAAAGTTACTATAATAATACGTGATGAATACGTTTAAAATAAAATCAAATTGTTTGATACCAATTTCTGGGTATTCTGGGTATGTAGTTGGACACAATTCGGTACTAGAGTATATAATCTAAGGCTTATCCATTTCTTTATTATCTATGTTTTTAATTTGAAAGTAGTATATAGCTATAATATAAATTCTAAGGTTTACAGTGTGTCCCAAATTCGACAGACTATTCTAGTAATGATAATATTAAATTTTTTCAATCGGTTTGTCTTTTAGGGGGACATCGATTTGGAAAAAATTAAATTTTTATTTTTATCCTCTAAAGACGAAAAACTAATAACTTTTTATTTATTTACTTTAGAAAATCTTCAAAATAGCCATTTTGAAAAAATTATTATTCAAAAAATTTTTATGTATCACTCATTTATATCTGATGAATAATTTCTCAGTTATAATCGTTTTAATTAAACGTGAAAACAATTAATATTCAATAAAATAACATATAGTTATTATTATATTATTATCATAAATTACGGTAAAGCATTTTCAATTTTTAAAATCTACGTTTTATATAAAGATTTTTATTTTAATAAATGTTAATATAAATCATAATACATATTATTCAGATTTCATTTTTATAAATTATTACTTACGACTTTAGTATGAAAGACTCACATGTAAACAAGTCAGGCAATAAGGTCGAATTATAATAAAATCGGTTTAAATTAATAACGGCTTAACTTGTATCATATAAACGTAGTAAATAATAGTAAAAAATAGCATTTTATATAGCATGATCGTACACGATTACAATAAACTCATAAGATTTCAAATAATTGAAATATTTTATTCTGTTACGTTGGTGTACATGTAAGCGGTTAGTGATAAAAACGTCTTATCATTTTTGAACAATTACTCAGCATCTAGGCCCATTATTAACATAATAGAATTATGTTTATACTATCGGTACAATAACTATTTGATAATACAAATTGAAGGTTATGTTATATAGTCTAATATTTTGAAAAATCATCCCAACAATTTTACGTTTTGATTTCATGAAATGATAAATTGTTTGTAGAAAAGGAAAACTCAAGTTCATATTATTGTAAGAATTCAGTATTTTAACTGGCTTAATTATAACTGAGACTGCTATAAAAATAATTTAGTCATGTCTCGCGGAACTAGTGCTGGTTTTGACAGACATATTACTATATTTTCTCCTGAAGGAAGACTTTATCAAGTTGGTAAGACAAAAGTTATAAACATAAAATAATAGAATTTAAAAACTTTATTATATTAATTATACAATGATATATTTCTAGAATATGCAATCAAAGCCATATTACAAGGTGGACTTACTTCTGTAGCGATTAAAGGAATTGATGTTGCTGTAGTAGCTACTCAGCGTAAAGTGCCAGTAAGTTGTTTATATATTTTTATTTCAAAGTTTTTGTCAATAACAATTTCATTAAAAAAACTAAAAGGCTATACAGCTAAGCCTTTGAATAACAGACACTCTCGGTCACTGAAATTTCATCAGTTAAATCAGTTCATCAATCAATTTCATCCACCATTTGAGGGGGTTAATTTTTAAAATTCATAAAAGGTAAATATGTTAAAGGAGACATATATATTTGCTAGGTTAAATTCAGTTGTATATCATGTTATGTATGTATTTAATATTTTAATATGTATGTACATATATATTATAATAATAATTATAAAAAATAAATATATACAATGCTTACATATTATACAGAAATACTATTACATTTTGTATGAATAACTCAGTCAGCTTAGTCTGTTTATAACTCTGGTTTTTACACAATCTTGTTAAGTTTGCCAACATCTGTTATCAGTAATCTTCTGGTTTCGTCCCATAACGAGTTTAACCCGTCATCAGTATCGTCATGTTTTATAACAAGATTGGTATCCTAGTTAGCTATACGCTACCATAGCCGTTTTTTGTTCCTTTTAATTATTTAATGTACTTAAAATAGTTATATCCTATAAAACTTTGATTATCAATAGCAATTGACATTTAAATTGTCTATATTAAAAATAATGTTAAAACAACCATACAAATTATAAAAAAAGATCATTATAAATTATTCATCATTCAAATTGTCTGTGTTTACATACACAATACATGAACTTGGAACATACCTTTTAAACTTCTAGGTACAATAAAAAATTTCCATATTGCCAAGTAACAAAAATATTTTATCAAATAGGTTTTCTCTAGAGTTTTCCTATTGAAAAGTTGTGAAAATGTTCCTTGAAAAAAAAATGCTATTTGGAGGTGTACATTAGACTATATTTCATTGTATATCACATAGATCCATTTAATTTACTTGTTGTCCATATAATTATAAGGAGATTGAAACTCAAAAGTTAAAAATAATACTATATTATAAAAGCTTATGAAATACCTAGGTAATACACCTAATACAAATGTACCTTACATTGTTATGTGATTTTGGTGAATTGGATTTAGTCCAATGTTCATTAATAATATATTAGCTGTAAACTTTTATGTAATTTTTCAATTTATAATATTTATTTTAACTTGAAAGGGTCCAAATTTAATAAAACAGAAATAAAGAAATTTCAAAATTAAACAATTTTCAGCATTTATATCACATAACAAAATATTACATTGTTCAAATAACATGCTGTAAATTATAAAAGAAATTGTATTTATTTGTGTTTGTATAGTGCGTCATTTTTCAAATTTCCTATTAATTATTTTTTTTATTTACATTATTATTGTCTAATATACCAATTTAATTTATTTTTTAGGACAAATTAATTGATCCTAAAACAGTAACTCATTTGTTCCGAATTACAAAAAGCATTGGCTGTGTTATGACTGGAATGGCAGGTAAATGAGAATATGTGTCTGTATGCATATTATATACTTATTTTACTAGGCTTTTAATCATACAAAATTAATATTTGTTATTGTGAAAAATGATAATTGATACACAATGTCCTTTCCTTGTCAACGATATTATTTATCAAAATTATATAATTATGTTGATAAATGTTATAATATATGATTATAAAATATGTTTATCCCACACACAACCCACTACAATAAACCTGTAGGTATTAACTAAGAAATAGTTTCATATTATTACGCTTATCTATCTATACTTTTAAGAAGATACCACACCTACATATACTGTTTCAGTTCAATTATCGAGCAACATGCTACAGCAATGCATACATAGTATTGTTTTTGCATGTTGCTTGGTAGTTAAACAAGACAGTAGACAGTACAGTGTCCTCTTAACTAATGATGCTTTGTCACATAAAATATTTACAGGTTGTCCTTAAATGTTGCTCGTACTTGAGCATATTGTCATATTAATAATTTATTGAACATTATTCTCCAACTTAACCAGTAACAAGAAATATCTACAATTACAACATTTACCATTTTCAGGAAAATTAAATCATTTACCACTTTTTATGTTTTTTACTGTAACATATTCTATTGTATTAGTACATACAATATTTATCAGCTTTGAATATTGATTGGAGTAAAAAAAGTAGTAGGTTTTACAATGATATTTGTTTCTATTTGTGTTATTAAATATAATTTTTATTGTTGTAGCCGATGGTCATTCTCAAGTATACAGAGCCAGAGCTGAAGCATGCGAGTATAAATATAAAAATGGCTTTGAAATGCCTGTGGAAACTTTATGTTGTCGTATGGCTGATATCTCTCAAGTATACACACAAAACGCTGAAATGAGACCTCTTGGATGCAGTAAGAAAATATTTTTGTAATCTATATTAAATCAAATGTGTATATATATGTAGGGTGGTCTTTAACTTGTAATTGTTGAAAATAAATGTCAAATATTTGAATTCACATGCTCAAAATTCTGTTAGGTATATTGTAAAAATAATTTTTGTAAATTTTAGATATGATAAGTCAACCTCAACACGTGCAATAAAGGGGTTGAAGTTAGTAAAAAATGGGCAGTTTTTATATTAATTTTTTTGAACTTGAGCATATAAAACATTGATCAAAAACTTATTAAAAAAGATGACTATTCATTGTATATGATCTAAGAAAATAACATTTTTTTCTTGCTAGGCATGATATTAATTGGAATTGATGATAAGAAGGGTCCTATGGTATACAAGACAGATCCAGCAGGATATTACTGTTCATTCCATGCCGTTTCAGTTGGAAGTAAACAAACTGAAGCTAATACATATTTGGAAAAAAAATTGAAGAAAAAGAAAGAATTCACTAAGGATGAAGCAATTGAAGTAAATTGTATTATCTTCTATATAATTTAAATTTTACTATAACTTAGTCAATCATTTTTAGTTGGCCATATCATGCTTATCACACGTACTAGCTGTTGATTTTAAACCAAGCGATATTGAAGTTGGTATTGTGTCTTTAGAAAAAAAACAATTTGAGTAAGTTTAATGCACATTTTTATGCTAAAAATAAATAAAATAATAAATATTTTTTAAAATATTGTATATTAATATTTATTATTTATCTTGTATATACAATATAACTAATAACAATTTAGTCATTCATTTTAAATTAGTTAATTTATCTCGGTAATAATATCATCAGAAAAATTGAATTTATCATTGTGATATTTTTTATCCTTATTTACTATAATCTAATTAACTAATTATTTCATTTATATTTTTTAAATCAGAGTCTTAACTGAGCCAGAAATTGATCGTCACTTAACTCAAATTGCACAGAGAGATTAAGCAACTATATTTGAAAAGCTGGAGATTTATATTTCATAATACTGTATTCATCATGTATTTCAACTTAAAATATCAACAATAATAATATACATAATTTATTTTATATGGGAAATAGGTTTCCTTTTCAATTGAATAAAATTTGTCTTTTAATAAAAATATTTGTATTGAAAATTATTAATGGTGTGTATATTATATTATCCTTTTTGCTCAAACTTAAATTCTATGTCATTCATTCATTGTCTGTGGCATATAGCTAATGCTACAAGAAAAGTCTTTCCAATTCTCTGTCCTATCAACGACAATTGGTAAAATGATTTGCTCAAAAGTTGCTCCTTGTTACGCTCTTTATTTCTGGAACTTGTCCTCCACATCTTCCTCAATCAATTCTGCCCCATATTTCACTATTTTTTTAACTAAACCATGCTATTTTTCACATTGCTCATCAGCTTCTAGTCCCAACAATATTTCTCTGTTCATGCCGAAAAATTCATTCTAACGCAATGTATGCATTACGTGAGATGTGTGCATGCAAATAAAACATACTACTGTATAGTTCGGACAAGTCATGGACTAAGATATCTTAGTCCGTGGGAAAAGCCCTCACTGGTTGAACGATGACGTGTGGGGCATTTTCAAAAACTATTTTTAAAACGTCTTATTTGGTTTGCCAAATAAACTATAAGCGCCGATATGCGTAAATGTTTTATAATAGCATATATTGAGTTAGTGTTTAAGATCACTATGGAGGTGAAGGAAAATAGTGCCTATAATTGTGGCCTGGTAATGATCTGAAATGGCCTCTAAAAATTTTGACACCAACAATAGATAAATTTAAATGACACTCCTAAATTTATAAAATTTGTATTTTTTGTACATAAAAAATGAATCTTCTTATATCTGAAATTCAAAAAATAAAGATAAGTATCTATTGTGGAACAAATGGAACCCAAAATTCAAAACTAATTAGTGGCCTAACCTATCGTTAAAAATTTAACTGAATTTCGTTAGCACTAATTTAAGCACCAAACTTTCGAATAATAACATTTTACGTTGTTTAGTGGTTAAGGTCATGTTTACTACTGAAAGGCTAAAAAGCTGTTCTAGGATAATAGGAACGATTGCAATCACTGCAGTTATAGGTAGGTACCTAAGTTAATGTACCCATATCTGAAATCAACAATTAACCATTGCTAACAAATTTCAACGGAATTCGGTTGATAGTATTACTTTGTATACAGTATAAAAGTATGTCATATTAGGGTAAAATAATTACGTGTGTATTACCTATATATTTTCTTTAAAAATATATTTGATATCGTACCTATTTTCTCATTTTTTCTATTTATTTGAAAAACTCCTGAGAAAATCAAAAAATAACCTCCCTAAAATACAACCCCAGTCAGATTTCCTTCCAAAAAAATTGCTATCATTGTAAATCTGAACAAAAATGTTTTGTAATAACAGTTGTTCACAGGAAAAAATAAAAAATAAACATGATTCCTTACTCCTCTTCGAATCTACAATGAATGTTATATAATATTTACATTTTTAATGAAAAATATGAACAAAATAACATATTTGGGGTTAGTATTTAGAATAACAGAAAGATTAAGAGGATTATTTAAAAAATTAAGAACAAATAATAGAATTAGGCATTTAGCAGATATAGTGATTATGAAATTAAATCACAAATACTCTCCTCCATATGAAGTGTACAGAAAGAAAAATTATTAATTGAACAATGCATAAATGATTAATTGAATAATGGAAAATCTTGGTAGGGTTAGATATTTAAACCAAATTTTGTTTAGGATTTTAGGGACAATAAATTTAAATCTAATGTTAGAGCTAAAATTAACAGGACATTTATTCCAATAGGTGGACCTGTAGTCATGTGTTTTAGAATCGAACCAAGAAATTTAAAAGAATGAAGGACATATTAGGTTTGAAATGGATTTGGGCAATGAACTTGCTATACAAATTTGCGTTACATATTTTCATTTCTAATATTTGAATACATTTCAAAGCACAATAAATATAAAATTGTTCAACAAATACTTTTTTAACATACATTTACTGAAAATATAATAGTATTAATAACAGTATTTTTTTTTTTTTTTTTTATAATTATAAATTAGTGATAGAATATTATGCATTACATATTATCTATGACACTTTAACAAGAAAACATTAACAGTTTTAAATTAAAAACATACATGGAATTATTTTTGAACTCTTGATTTCAAATCAGTTGATTTTAATTGTGTGTTCACATTTCAACTAATTATTAAATCAAATAAAATTTTTTTAACAATAGCATTTAATGTGTATTTTAAACACCTAGTATTTTTTTTGCAGTTTCTACTATATCATTTGGTTGTGGTAATGCAGCAATTTCTAACGATTTAGTATAAGGCATTGGAACATCTGCTCCAGTTACTCTTATAACTGGTGCATCTAAGTGATAGAATGCTTCACCTGAAATAGAAATAAAATTGAAATAAACAAATAATAAATATTTAATCATAACTTAAAACTTACTCTCCATGATTTGAGCTGATATCTCTGATCCAATACCAGCATAAGGCCATCCTTGTTCAACAGATATAATATGGTTTGTTTTAACTACAGATTGTATAATAGTATTAATATCAAGTGGTCTTAATGATCGTAAGTTGATAACCTCTGCCTCAATTCCTATTGCAGATAATTCTTTTGCTGCATCCAAAGCCAATTCAACACCTTTTGAGTGAGCCACTAATGTTATATGATCTCCTAAATAAAAATCAAATAGACATTTTTCTTTGTTCTCATTTTTTATCAGCTATCATGATAAATAAATATTACATTTAAAATTATAAATATTTAAGGTAGTATTGGTTAGAAAATCTACCAAGCTATGAAAAAAGTTAAAAAGTAAAAAAGTAGATATTGGCCTTGAGAATGTTTAAAATTACCATATGATCTCTGAGACTACGAGTTAATTTTCTCAAAATTAACTATAACATATTATCCCTTTCAACTAAATACATTGTTCAATATATAATTTTTCAAAAAATTATTTACAAATATAAAAATGAATTCCTGTTTACTAATGTTAGAGAAATAATATTATAAACTAGAACTAAGGTTTTAAATTTTAAGTTGTTTACTATAAATCTAATATTTATTTTAGTTTTTACCTTTTCTTTCAATTTTTGCTTTACCAATTGGCAGTACAAAATCTTTATCTAAGACTTCATCAGTGATTGGATATTGATTACCATACAATAATTCATTTTCTAGGAACACAACTGGATCTGGATCTCGGATAGCAGCTTTCAATAGTCCTTTGGCATCTTCAGAGTTATAAGGAGAAATAACCTAAAACCAAACAATTATTTGTTTATACTTCAAACAATTTGTTATATTTTTCAAGTTATAATTTACTTTTAAACCAGGACACTGACTATACCAAGCTCCAAAACATTGTGAATGTTGGGCAGCAACACCAGAAGCTGCTCCATTGGGCCCTCTAAATACAATTGGTACATTGACCTAGAAATACAAATAATTATTAATTTTAAACATCAAGTTATAGATAAAATATATGATTAAATAAAAATGTATTTAGCACACACAATCTTGTAATTACAGTAAAACTTGCAATTAATAATCACAAAAAGGAATACAAATAGTTATTGATATTTAGAGGTGGCTGTTCTATTAATATAAAAGTCAGAAAACACTTTTTGGAAACAAAAATAATATAACTGTTATAGAGATGTGACCATTGTCAGAAGTTCTCCTGCATTAATATAGTCATTATTCTTAATAAATAAATAAAATAATATAAAACATGTATTTTATTACCCTGCCAGCTGACATATAAAATGTTTTTGCAGCCGAATTAATTACTTGGTCAATAGCTTGCATTGAAAAATTAAAAGTCATAAACTCGCAGATCGGTCTTAAACCAGCCTATAAAAATATTAAAATTAATTTAAACTTCTTCAAATTTCATAACATATTGATTTAACACTGCAACTACAGTGAAATAATTAAATTATAATATGTTTTGAACATGAATTTCAGAGTAATGGCAGAGTTATTTATAATACAATATTGAAATTAAAAAAATACCATTGCTGAACCAACAGCAATACCAGCAAAACCAATTTCTGTTATAGGAGTATCAATCACACGACTTTCGCCATATTTTTTGTATAATCCTCGAGAGACTTTATAAGCACCATCATACAAAGCAACCTCTTCACCTAAAATATAAACTCTTTCATCGCGTTCCATTTCTTCGTCCATGGCAGAATTCAATGCATCTCTAACGGTCATCTATATATAATCATTAAGATGGTTAATATATTAAATTATAAAATCTATAGTCAAGAGATAGTGTCTATACCTGTTTATTAGCTAACATACGTGTTGTGGATAAAGACCTTTTGAATACCTTAACAGAACTCTGAAAGACAATGTTAAGAAATATTACAATAATATTATATTAGCAATATGAATACTATAAAAAAAGGTGTAGTTACCATTAGGATGGATGGCGAATAGAAAGATATCGAAAACGCCATATTTGATTCTCCAAAGGTATTAAAATGTTAACTACCCAACCAAGATAAATCGAGGTGTGTAGGCCAAAAAAACTGATTTTTCACCTTGGCGGGCGAGTTGAATGATTTTATGAAGGGCAAGGGTTAAATTGATCAAACTCTTAGGATAATGAAAAAACAAATTTATAAAAATTACTGATATACTGATACCATGTTACCATATACCGTAATTCTGTTATTCAAATATTTAGAATTTTTGGTAACCAAAGATGTTATAAGTTATTGAGGTTACGTTGAAAACGTTGGCTTTTTCTTTTTCTATCTTCGAACGTGGACCAATAAGAACGAGACAAGTGATTTGGATTTGACCAATAAGAATAGCCCACATATTCAGATAACTGTATATAGATATGTAACGAAAGCAGCAATTCGTCAGTTTTCCGGTGTTTCGTTTCTTATTCATATTAATGTTGTGCTTGTGTTCTGTTGTTTGTCTGGTCCATCAATCCATCAATTTTTCTGGACACTTCTAGACTATTCTACATTAAATAACTGTAATAAATTATATATTTTGATTAAATTTGTTTTTCAGTTAATACAAGGTAAATATTTTAATTATAATCCCTATGGTTTTTTTTTAATATAATAATACCTATAACCTATACTCTTAAATTTTTTTCTAGACTACCAAACCTGGGTATGGACAGGAAAAAGTCTATTTGTGCTTTGTGGGCACTGTTTTTTTTAGTGAGTCCAATTGTTGCTGCTAAGGATGCAGGAAAATCTAAAGATGATCTTGGTACTGTAATAGGAATTGATTTAGGAACGACATATTCTTGGTAATTATATTTTAAAATTAATTTCTTAGAATAACATAATATTTTTCATTGTTGGTACTAAAAAAATGTTTATTTTTAACTGTATTTTACATGGATAGTTGAATTAGTTAATATATTAAAAAGATATATTTTGTTCACAATATTCTAAAAAAAATGTACTAACTTCTACAAATTATTAACTTAAAATAATTAGTAATCTTTTAAATTAAATATATCAGTTTCAATTTTAATAATTAACAAAAATGTTTGAATATTATTAACATTATTTTATCTATAGAAACAATAAATGTACTTAACCTGAAAAAAATAGTGACATCATCAAAAATATTGTACAGGTGGCATTACTTAACCAATAAGGTTTTAACTTATAATTTTAAAAACATTAATTAATTAATGTTAATTTATAAATTCTTAAACTTATTACTTTTATGTAATCTAAATCACTGGTGCCTAATATTTTTCATATATTATTTAATAATTTATATGTATAAATTATTTTAACATATATATATAAAGTGTAAAATATTATAATATTTTTACATAGTTTGAGTTTAATGTAGGTAAAAAACATTCTTCTTCCAGAAATTTATCTCTAGTTTCCTCTACCCAACGATAACTCTTTCCAATCCATCCCTGGTTTCACTTTACCTACGTCTTCTTTGACTCTATCTTCCCATCTTAATCTTAGCCTTCCCAGTGGATGTTTTCCATATGGCGCATTCTCTTGTTCTATTCTTATCAATGATCCCTCTACTTTAAGAGTGAAATGCCCACATTAGCCTTCTTTTAATGATATCTTCTGTAATGGTTGGACTTTGATATAGCTACCGCAATTCCTTATTATTTTTACGTATTCTCCATTCATTGGTAAATTCACCTTTGCACAGTTCATAGATTTTCTTCAGAATTATCCTTTCAAACACCGATGAAGCATTTTTGTCTTTTTTCCTTAAGGTTCAAGTTTCTGATCCATATGTTACAACTAGCTTGATAACAGTGGTATATTTGAGTTTTTAGATTTCTTGAAATTAATCCAGATTGTAACATTTTTGATAAGCCGAAATTTCATTTATTTTCAGCTTGTATTCTCGCTCTTATTTCTATGCCAATTTTATTCTGTTGTATTATCAAAGTGCCTCAGTATTTGAACTCATGTACTCTTCTGAATTTTTTATTTTTTATTTCTTAGTACTCTTTACTGTGATCTTCTGAACCGTGTCTTTGTACTACCATAAATATATTTGGTTTTCTCAGAGATAATTTCTAGATATACGTTTTGCCGCATTTCTGAGTTTTTATTGTTCATTAAGTTTATCTTTACTTTCCGTCTTCAAGACTATGTCATCCGTGTAAGCTAAAATTCCAATGTAATTTTCCCCTAGTTTGATTCCTTCCATATCTGACATTACTGCTCTTACTACTTTTTCTAAGGCTATGTTGAATAAGTGACATAGCATCTCCTATCTCAGCCTGGTTGTAACTTAAACTGTCTTCGATATTGTGTGTCCTATCTTTACTTTGATGTCAGTATAACTAATGGTGTATGTTATTAAGTTAACCAACTTTTGTGGCATTCTAAATTCTTCTAAGGTCTTATTTAGGAATTACCTAGGTATTGAATCATAGGCTTTTTTGTAATTGATAAATAATATACACACTTTTATTATATTCTCATGTTTTTTGTAACACTTGACTAATAATTATTTATTTAAATTAAGATTCTTCTGTTTATAGTTTTGATTGATTATATTGTGAATTCTATTTGAAATGTCATTTAATGTTAAATTTAGAAAATATGGTTTTTCTTCTACCTAACTATTTACTTAAATAATAAATATATAATTTTTAGTGTGGGAGTATATAAAAATGGACGAGTAGAAATCATAGCCAATGACCAAGGTAACAGAATTACACCATCATATGTTGCGTTCACTAAAGAGGGTGAACGTCTTATTGGTGATGCAGCTAAAAATCAGCTTACTACTAATCCAGAAAACACTGTATTTGATGCTAAAAGATTAATTGGACGTGATTGGTCAGATACTAATGTTCAACATGATGTTAAATTCTTCCCATTTAAAGTAAATACATATTACTTTTATAAATTTTGTGTTGCTAGTTATTAATTCAAATTTCCATTTTAGGTCATTGAAAAAAATACTAAACCTCATATTCAAGTTGATACTTCCGAAGGTGTCGCTAAAGTATTTGCACCTGAAGAAATTTCTGCTATGGTATTAGGAAAAATGAAAGAAACTGCTGAAGCTTATTTAGGAAAAACTGTCACACACGCGGTGGTCACTGTACCAGCTTATTTTAATGATGGTCAACGTCAAGCGACAAAAGATGCTGGAGCTATTGCTGGTCTAACTGTAATGAGAATCATTAATGAACCAACTGCAGCAGCTATTGCTTATGGTTTAGACAAAAGAGAAGGAGAAAAGAATGTTCTTGTTTTTGATTTGGGTGGTGGTACTTTTGATGTATCATTGTTGACAATTGATAATGGTGTATTTGAGGTAGTGTCTACCAATGGGGACACGCATTTGGGTGGTGAAGATTTCGATCAGAGGGTAATGGATCATTTCATCAAATTGTATAAGAAGAAGAAGGGTAAAGACATCAGGAAAGACAATCGTGCGGTTCAAAAGTTAAGACGTGAAGTTGAAAAAGCAAAGCGTGGTCTTTCTGCCAGCCACCAAGTGCGCATTGAAATCGAAAGTTTCTTTGAAGGTGATGACTTCTCAGAAACATTAACCCGTGCCAAATTTGAAGAACTCAACATGGATCTATTTAGGTCCACAATGAAACCCGTCCAAAAGGTTATGGAGGATGCTGATATGAACAAAAAGGATATTGATGAAATTGTATTAGTTGGCGGTAGTACCAGAATACCTAAAGTACAACAGCTGGTTAAAGAATATTTCAATGGAAAGGAACCATCCCGAGGTATTAATCCTGATGAAGCCGTCGCTTATGGTGCAGCAGTTCAAGCTGGAGTTCTATCTGGAGAACAAGATACAGATGCAATTATTCTTTTAGATGTTAATCCTTTAACTATGGGTATTGAGACTGTTGGTGGAGTAATGACTAAACTAATCCCTCGTAACACAGTTATTCCAACTAAGAAAAGCCAGATTTTCTCTACTGCTGCAGACAATCAAAATACAGTCACTATTCAAGTTTTTGAAGGTGAACGGCCAATGACTAAAGATAATCATCTCCTTGGTAAATTTGATCTTACTGGAATACCGCCAGCGCCAAGAGGAGTTCCACAAATTGAGGTCACGTTTGAAATTGATGCCAATGGTATTCTGCAAGTAAGTGCGGAAGACAAGGGAACTGGTAACCGAGAAAAAATTGTTATCACTAACGATCAAAACAGATTAACACCGGATGATATAGAACGTATGATTAAAGAAGCTGAAAAGTTTGCTGATGATGATAAGAAATTAAAAGAACGTGTTGAATCTCGAAATGAATTAGAATCTTATGCATACTCATTAAAGAACCAAATTGGTGATAAGGAAAAATTAGGTGGAAAGGTAAGCACAATTTTAATTTAATTATAGTAATAATTTATTATTAATTGGTACATTTTTTTTTTTTTTTTTATATATATAGTTGTCAGATGCTGAAAAAACTAAAATGGAAGAAATCATTGATGCCAAAATTAAATGGTTGGATGAGAATCAAGAAGCTGACCCAGAACAATATAAGCAACAAAAAACTGAACTTGAAAGTGTTGTTAATCCAATTATATCTAAGTTGTACGCTAGTACTGGTGGTGTTCCTCCTCCGCCCGCTGGTGATACTGAAGAAAAAGATGAACTTTAAAATGAATGTATTGATAAATTTATTTATTGTATATAAGACTGCTAAGGTTTTATTTCCTTTTGGATTATGTTAAGCAGTTAGGTTAACAATTAGCTAATATATTTTTTTCTATTTTATTCTTATTTATTATATAATTCTTCATTTTATAAATGGTTAGAATTATTTGTTTTTGTACAATAAATATCCCATTTGGTAACATCATTTATAAAACTGAATTAAATTTGCTATACCTTGTTGGTTTAATTCCGTTCAAAAAAAATGTGTACAAAATATTTTTAACAAATGCATTAATGTCCTTGTGAGAAAAATGAATTAATACATGTTAATATTAATTACATTAAACAATAATTATACACTTTTTTAAATAAATTTATTATGTCATATTTATTGAGATATATCACCTAACCATTTTAATTTATCTACTTAATTTATAATTTAAAATTTAAACCTAAAAATATAAATAACTTGTTTTGCTCTGGTAGATACATTTTCTTAGTCAACGTATTTTATTTATAGTGTAGACAAGCATATAATAGCTTGAGAAATATTATGCTAAGTGCTAAACTTAACACTAAGTTAAGTTGTATTGAAAACTACTATAATCGTACAAATATCTGGCCTTAAATTACACTATGAGACTCGATAAGCACATTTTGGCAATGTAAACTAATAATTTTTATTTAATAATAATTGACAATCGCCGCATAGTAATTCCTTATCGCAACAGTAGTTTATTAAATATTAATTGTTTTCACATTTATTTTCTAGAAATTAAAACTAACTATTATTAAAAATTTATTTATTGGATATATAAATTTATGAAAATTTTGTTAAGTGAATGAATTGGGGCATGAAAATAAACTCTAAAGGTTTTCCTAATCAATCTCGCTCTCGAAGACAAACCGATTTAAAAGTTTATATATATTAATAGCTCTAGAAAAATTTGTGGAACATGGTGGGTCGCATTGTATAATCTTTGAAAATAGCCTGATTTTGGTAGAAATTGGACATGTCTTCTTTCTGCAATTAGTTTTTTATTTATTTATATATATTTACTAACATTCAGTTAAAATATTTTAACTATATAACATAAGTTAAAATTGTTTGCACATCTTCAAGCAAATGCTTGAGTTGAAAGTTTATAGTCAATAATATAAGTCTATATTACTACTAGTTGATTTAAAATTAATCTGTTTATAAACAGAGATGATGAAAATAAATAAATACTAAGTCATATGAACAATACTAATTTTTTTTTATTTTAAATTATTTTATTATTTATTTAACAAAGCAATTTATGATAAATTTAAAAACTATTGTGATATAATAAATATTTGAACACTTAAAATTATGTCACAAAACAATTTTTAAAATGGTATGTGATATAAGTGGAAAAAAAAGAAAAACAATAATTATTAAATTTATAAGTTATAACATAACTATTTATCATTCAGGTCATTTCCTATCTGTAAATCTTTCCATCGTGTTTCAAGATCAAAGTACTTTTGTTGCAAAATTCTTTCTCGTTCTTTTTGACAATCTACATCATCAGTTAATGACTATGCAAAAGAAATCAAAATGTAAAATTAATTTTTTTTTTTTAACAAGCCAAATAAAAAATTTGGCAGCATTATTTCACTATAAATTTAAAATAATCATTGTGTTCTTTTTTTATGAAGTTTCAATATTAAATATGATACTTGTAATCAATTAGGTATAACAGGTTCTTCTCTTTGTAAAAACTAAAATGTTGATAATTCTAAATGTGCTTGTTCAATTTCATCAACAAGAGTATGAAACTGTTTAATAAGTCCTTGAGAACGAGTAAAAACAGAATTATAAGATACAAAACTGAACATTTGTAAATAATTATTATTTTTTGTACTTGATATCCTCCAAGAATAATTTTAATTTTTTTTTCCATTTTACCAGCTTTTTTGACTTCTTTTGTCATATTACCCCTATTTTGCTCTAGCTTTTTCTCTAGTGATTTAATCCTGTCTTTTATACTCGCTAAATTTGCTCTTGTATAACAATTTTAATTGGGTAAGAACAATACTTGATCCAAACACTCACCCCATACTTGGGTAAATGAACCCAATGATAGATCACCATGATTCATTCATTCATTCATTTAACAATTTCCATTTCTTTTCTCAAAATTTGTTTGGCCTAAAACAATATTTGGAATTATATTGTAAATAGTAAATAATTTAGTTATAATAGCACTGTCCTATTATAATTTATATTGGGTTAATTAATATATACTTTTTACAAGGTGTTTGTTAACATCTATTAACTTATCGGAAATATTTGAGTTTGAAGATCTTTTTTACTTAGTTTTTTAATTTGTTTTATTCAAACAAAACAACAGAGTATTTGATCATATCGAAAATACATTATATACAAAAAAAAATGACATATCACTAAGTATACTTTTACATTAAAAAATCGTTTTAAAATAAATATTATTTTATTTACATTTTCTAATTCTCTTTCGGTAAATTTTTGATATGGATGTGCCTGTAAATATGCCAAATGTCGACCTTCAGTTTTTTGGAACCACTTTGAGTGAATGTTGCAACTTCTGGAGGAAGAGGGTTGCAAACAGCATCACAATGAAGCATCATAATCATTTCTTGTTTAATTAATTATTCAGCCTATACAAATAAATAAGTTCAAATTGTATTTAAATACAAATGATAATGGAAATTTATAAATTACTCTTTGAAGATCTGTCAAAGGAAGCTCTGAATTTAATGGTCTCAGAACCATATTAGTATCTGGCGGACGAGGTAAACATCGTTGAATTACTTGAAATCGTAATTTCATTTCCAATTATCCTGCAAAATATGATATTGAATTCATTTTAATATTTTATTATAAATAATAATTTATAAAAAAATACATTTTTATTCTTATCAGACCTATATAACAGCACATTCGGATATAATTTAAACAAGGTAAAAAAAAAAATTAAGTGGGCCATGTTAATTCTTCGTGTATACCTTTATGGATGTCTTCTAAAGTATAAGTATGCAGGCAAGCTGAGCATGTGAAGATGTCACATTGTCTATTCTTCTCTACATAGACATAGTGTGTGTAAGCTATCAAGCAGCTCCCATTACTTTAGGCTGTCTTTTGTACGTCCTATTCTTGTACTAAATTTGTTTGATAGGCACCCAGCTGGGGGTATCATTTATCTGACTTCTTTATCAAATTGTTCTTTCTGCTTCGACGGTATGTTAACCAATTAGCTTTTATGTAAGTTCATATGTTTTTTTCTCGATTTTAGATGTGAGAATTAGAGTCGCTTTAACTTACATGTTATGTTGAGGGTCTGACAGTATTTTCGGTCTTTAACCACAATAAAATTGTATACTATAATAAAAAGGGGAAATATAAATAATTTTCCAGAGTTGAAAATTGTTAGAAAAAAAAAAAATTCTAATACTGTAAATGGGTTTGCACTACTAATGACAAGGTAGGATACATAAAATGATTTAATTTATATTTGTATTTTATATCATTTTTTTTTAACCATAGACCTTATACTAAGAGACAAAGCTCAGGCCTCATAAATATTAATGTTATAAAAAAAAGTAAATATAGTGGCATTAATTTTTTTAAAAGTGATTAAAAAGTAATCAAAATGTATTTTGACTTTTAAATACCTTATAGATACAAATTTAAAAAGCTATCCTAGAATAAAAGGGAAAGGTGCAGCCACTGTTAATGGTAATTTAATGTATACCTGAAAGCAACGATAAACCGTTGCTAACGAAAAAAAAGGATTCTGAGCTGTGTTTGGTTAATAGTATTGTTTTGTCAACAATATATAAGTATATCATTTTAGGGTAGTATAAATATATTTGCATTACCTTTATGTTTTCTTTAATAATATGTGTTTTATATTGTACCTATTTCTCGATTTTTCCATTTATTGGGAAAACTCTTGGAAAATCAAAAAATTACCTCCCTAAAGTACAATTTCAATCAGATTTCCTTTCAGAAAAAGTGTTTTTTGCAATAAAAAAGCAAAGTCAGTAAAAATATCTGCAGATAAAATTCTGACTATAAAAAAATATTGTTAATTTTCTTTTAATATATATAACAGGGTTTGCATATTACAGCCAGCATTTTTGATTTTTGGTATATATTTTAAAAAATAGTTTTTAATTATATCCCATTGATCTAACAAACGTTTTGCAGCTTTCTCAAATATAAGCCACGGTGAATATTTTAAAAATTTCTAATTTGGGGCATTAAAATGATAATCCTGATGCTTTTTACTAACAGTTGACTATTTCTTTAATAACAATGCTTTAAATTTTTCATTTAAAGAACACAAGACTGAAGTTCATACATACAAGCAAACGGTGGCCCAACACCTTATTAATAAATAAATATTGCGTATATGTCAGGTATTCATATTATTTTATCCACCCCTGTATATTATAATTTATTATATTACTGTACGAATTCGACAGTAGACTCCAATTTCTAACAGAAATGAAAATAAAACTAACACAGAAAAAAAGAAATTTTCTAAACTAATGTGTTAGGTAACACTTAATTATAAAATTTAAAATTTACTTTGTATTTTCTTGTGTTGGTCTGTGGTTGAAATTGAAACCACAGGTGACAGAATAAGTGAAATTTCACTTATTCTGAGTAAAAAAATTTAGAATTATTTAATTATTTTTTAATAACTTATTCATAGGTAACGTTAATTGTAGGGGAAACATTTTGTTTCCATCGGTATGATATTCGTTACAAGTTTATTCTTTCGTCCATGATATATACCCTGTTTCAAAGTTAAGAAATTATGTTTTTTAATATGTCTATGGTTGTGGCCGTTGCTAACTGGTGGGGATGCGCACTGCCGAACGAAAACTGGTCGCGAAAACGGTATGTGTTCAAGTTTGAAACGGGTATAGACTATTGATGATATAGTGTATAGACCGCACAATACGTCTATGGGCCTATGTAGAGCCTATATAAGCTTATATAGACTCTTTAGGCCTATGGCAACATAGAAGTTTAAACTATAGGCCTATGTATGGCATAGATATATATATATATATACACGAGGGCTAATCAAAAAGTATCAAGACTGGTAGCATCATTCGGAAAAGGAGCGTAGAATAGCAGTAGGATTGGTATCACTTGCTTCTATGACTTTTTCTGAGTACATTTGTTTTTATTGCTTCTCTATAAAATTCTTCGGTTTGATTTCACTGATATTTTTGTAAAATATATTTTTCGAGTTTGGCGATTTTGTAATAAACCTAAAAGATGAGTAACTTAACAGATTTGGAGATTTTAGAAAATTTGTCTGCATTTTTTTCCAGTTTCAGAGGGATGCAACATTTCATGGTTTTTGCCATTAAATGTCAATTGAAAAACTGAAAATGTGCCCTCGATTGGCAGCGAGTTGCGCTTCTTTTGGATTCATTACGAAATCGCCAAACGTGAAAAACAAATTTTAGAAAAATATCGTCAAATCAAAACGAAGAAGTATATAGAGATTTTAAACGAATAGATGTGCTCAGTAAAAGTCATAGAAATTAGGTTTACAAATCGTTTTGTTCTTCAACGCTCGGATTCCGAGTAATATTATCAGTCTCGATACTTTTTGATTAGCCCTCGTATATATATAAGGACTAGCTGAATTACCCGGTGTTGCCCGGAAACAAATTCGTGATAAACTAGATAACGCCATGTATTACCATTTACCGTCTTAAATTCATAATTATCGATAATATACATAATAACCTAATATCTATATATTTATTTTTATCGATAAACTTGTCGGAACAATTTTATTCTCGGAATCATTATTCTTATCTACACGACGACGACGACGAACAAAAAGGATAGGTTGCAGGTAGCTGGAAACCCGCGGGCCGCCGTGCCGCACAACAGGTATTGGCAGTGAATAATTATAATCGTTATTTACTCCACTAAAACGCAATATTTTTGAAAATCCCTCCTAGTTGCACGGTGAAAATATGAGAAGAACCTATATTCCAAATTTCAAGTCTGTACGTTACGTAGTTTTTGAGATACAGCGATCAGTCAGTCAGTGGTATTTGTTACATTTGTTAAGATATTGTTTACACGGTTCAAAATAAAGAACTGTTATCAAACTGTACTATGTTGCGTCATTATTTCAATGGTCGCGTGAAAATTGAAAAATGTCATGGTATGTTATAAGACTTGTTAAGATACAATACCTATTAAAAAACTACGTTTGTTTTTTTTTTTTTTGTAATTTTTATATTTCGGTTTACATTCCGTTAATAAAAAAATTACTAATGGTATACTAACTAGTAATAAAAGCTGACGTCAAAAAGTCATTTTAGTCGTGGTTACTGTGTGGTTTGATCTTAGATCATATACTATGGATAGAGCTATTGAGTGAATATTTGAAGCAAACATAAAAATAAGGGCAGTTGGGACAAATACGCAGGTGCAAAATTTATATAACGTGCAATCTGTCGAATTCATGTAATCACATGTGATGTACCTACAATCACTGCTTGATCTTATTATAATGACTATATGATAAATATATGACAAATACTGATACGCATGTGCAATAGACATTAGTCCCCTTAACAATGATTAGCTGTTTATTAGACTTCAATTTGATAAATTCTGTAGTCAAGAGACCACGTGAAAATTATGTCCTGTAGGTTTGTTTTTGAATTCTAATATATAGGAATAGTATATTATACAAAATGGTCAAGGAAGCGTCTATAGAAGTACGTGGTATGCCCAAGTGTGGACGATTTTGGAAAACACCTAAGACTAAGTAGAAATCATGCATTTTAATCTATACTTAAATATAACATTAATATATTTTATTTTTTTTAGATTTTCGTCAATAAACAAAACAAAAGGATTGAAGTTGTCATTTGAAAACAAACAAAAACTAAGAGAAGACATTAAAAAAACTAGAGAATTATCTAGAACTTTGATTAATGAAAGAAATGCTGCAAATGAAGCTAGAAAAGAAAGAAGAAGAGAAAATATAAAAAGACGTGCAGAAAATCAAAAAAAATCCGAAGTGGTTCAAGTGGTACCTATTTTTTTATTTTAAAATTTTGAACACATTTATATTTCCTCTAGAGGTCTATCAGCTTTTAAGACCACACATTCAATTCTCCAACCTTTTCTATCAGCTGCTTGTGTTTTTCATTCAGTACCTCTACATCTTTTCTACTCAAACAGGGGGTTCCCCTGCTGTCTTACAAACTGAATTCTCATCTATGAGAATGCGTTTAAAGTGGTTCTGGTTTTAACATGAAAAAGCTTTTCTGACTCATTATTTTTCTTTCCTTAGTTTCATATAGGATCCAGGCTTTTTCATCATAAGTGATAACTGGGCATATTAGAGTTATATATAGCTGTTTCTTCATTTCTAATGACAAAGATCATGAGAGACTTTCATAAAGGGATTTATTTCCTTATAAAATTCTTAATGCTATTTCTTTATCAATCTTATTTTTTCGTCAATATTGAACCCAAGTGATTGTTTAACTCTACATTACTCATAACCAGGGTTGGGATTTTATAGCATTTGTATATTTCTTATGAGATGAATTAGCAGAGTAAGCTAAATATGTGTTTCATTTTAGAGAATATTTCATATTTTTAGATTTTAGTGTTATTTACCTGTTTCTGTATCAAAATTTGTCATATTTTATGAAATTATGTTTCTGTAAATGTGTCTTTAAATTATTGTCAATCAAATTGTCAAAATTTATGTATAGATTAAGTATACAGTCTGATTATGTGGATGCACTGATGCAGCGTGAGCAACGCTACTAGTTCCTAGTATTTCGTATTATTAGGTTTTAATTTTAAACTTGTTATCTGCTGACTTTGTTGGAGTTTTTTCTATTGATATTCACTGCAATCATTTAACGAGTATTTAAAACATTGTACACCAGTGTTTTGCATGTTCCTCATAAAAAATAATTTTTTTTTTATTTTTAAAGAAAGGAATTACAATTTATTTATGTAGTTAGCCTAACTAGGTATAATAATTTGTAATTGATTAATAAATTTCTGAGTTTTTTTTTGCATATTTATGCATTTTTAACCTTGCTCATAACTTTTAGCATGGAAAGGTGCCCATGTTATCTTGTTTCCCCGTGATCATGTAAATAGTTTTGTTCTCATTTATCTGTAATCCAACTTATGATTACAACATTGTTATGGCAGATTCCTGTTATTTAATTTCCTCTTGAGGTTGAATATTCATTTCTCTAAAATTAAATTGTTGATATCAACCCAGATTTGACTGGTATTAATTCTGTTTCTGTATATCCTACCTTGATTTTAACAAATGTCTCTATTATACTTATCTCAAACAGCCTTAACTTTAACATTATACTAACAGATACATATATAGTCTACTGGCAAACCTTCCTGGTCTGAATCTTCAATGATAATCAGGAATGGTCTCTTTTGCCTTCCCCATAAACCTTAATAGAATACAATTTGTAAAGACTTAGTACACTATGCTTAGGAAAGTTATTCCTTTTAAGGGAAGCAATTCTGTTAAAAAAGCAATGACCTTAAACTTTTCAGATAGCACCGCTGAGAGCCTTTCTATTCTAATCTTAAGTGTCATTGTCAATTTACCATTACTCATCAGACTTATTTTACCATGTTTGTATAGATTGTAAATATATTATTTTATATTAAAAAAAAAAAAAAAAATGCTTTGGAGAGTTATTCCTTTGAAGGGAAGCAATTTTGTTTATTCCTTTTCTTGTGTATTGGCCATATTACTGCTGTCTTTCATTCCTCTGGTTTTAGCTATTCAATTATGCTTTGCAAATCAGTTTCCTCACTACAAGAAATTTCTTTCCCATCTCTTTATAAAAGTTCTTCTTGAATTTAATCACCTTCCAGTGATTTATAATTTTTAAATTGTTTATTTGACTTTTTATCTCTTCTAGAGTGGGTTTTTGGCACTCTTGAACATCCCTATTGACTATTACCCAAGTTGATAATTTCTTCGCGTTTTTCACAATTTTGCAATTGTTGTTTGAAATACTTCTCTATTTTTTAACTAGCTCTTCATTACTTAGTATCAATGAGCAATTATTGTTTCTTAAGAACCTTTCTTTTTGTGATTTTCTTTGAGTTTATTCACGTGCATGCGCATATCTCTGTTTATATGGGTTCTATAATCGTTTCACTTATTCCATTATATCCTATATATACTTCCACTTTTCTTGCATCTTACAATATTATTTGCTTACCTCTGCTGAGTTCAGAATCTTGCAAAAAGGTTCTTATTGCTTATATCGTTTAACCATTGTCATCTTCTTAGTTTTCTTTTATGTATTTTTCACAAATCTTATTTAACCATTAGGTCTTTTTTCCCTTAAGTCTTCGTTAACAGATTATTTACAGTCTTTTTAATTTGTTTCCAATGTCTGTACACTATAATATTAAATATATATCAACAAATTAATTATGTTAATTAAAATTAAAAAACAAATATTATCTATCAGAATATTATTTATTACCAATTTGAGAAATACAGTAGACTTAAATTATAAATTTTTTACAAAAAATAAAATAAAAATCATTATATTCAGAATTACTATAAATTTCAATTATCAAAGATAATTCCAAAGATAATATCAAAGATTTTCCTTAACATTTTTAAAAATTAAAGAATCATAAAATATTTCTTAAATTTGAATTGTTAGAGCCTAATAAAATATCAAGATTTACTTCTTGTAAAAGAATTATTTAATATATTTTTATATTTTTAATATATTTATTGTTAATAAAAGAACAATTTTTTTTTCAGATTAAGAATCCTGCAAAAATTAAACGAATGAGAAAGAAAGCATTAAGACAAATAGAAAAAAGAGATACTTTAAATATGAAATAATGTGTTAATTTTATTTGTATTTTTTTAATATAATAAATAAATGTAAGATTTAATGTACGAATAAATGATTTGTCCTATATTGTAATAATTATATTTAATTTGTAACTAAAATAATTTGAATTAAACACATATACATATATATTATTTAATACAATAACACCTTGACAGAAGACATGTAGCCAGTGCATTAATGAGTTTGCTATCTAATATTTTCAAAAAATATTAACATTATTTATTTTTCATATATATATATATATATATATACACACTGATATTAATATATATATTAATTTTGATAATATTTAACTTTATTAAATAATAGTTTTACTAATTATCAAAATATTTTATGTTCAATAATAAAAAAAGTAAGATTTATTTGGATAAAGCAAAAAAAAAAAAACAAACATTAATTAGTTTCAAATTTATTGTCATTAATTACCTTTTGTTCAATCACACATAGTCATATGATAAATACAATTAGCTTTAGAAAATTACATAATAAATAATAATTACAATGTTCTTATTCCATTCATAAAAGTAAATTAAAAAAAATATAGTACATTATTAAAACTAATAACAGACATATAATATTAAATGAACACTATAAAACAATACAAATAATGCAAGTTCTAATATAATTTTTGTTTTGTAATAATAAAATGTATGTGTTAATTATTATAAGTTGAATACTAATAAATTACTGTTTACTTGAAAAGGCCATTTTGATTTTGAAAATATCTCAAAGTAATTTAATTTTCAATTACATACTTAATTAACATGATTAATTGGGGAAAAGATTTTTTTTAAATGTGTTTATTGTATATATAAGCTATATGTCCCACCACTGTTTTAATTTACAATAAACTAATATCAAAAACAAATCAGAATATAATTGGAACTGTTGAATTGAAAATTGAATATAATGACTCAAGATGATGAGGTTAAAACTTAAGTTTAAACATAACTAATAAAATTTAAAAAATAATGTTTAAAGGCTAAAATTTTTCCTAAACAAATTGTATAAAAGAAATAAAGTAAATAAAAATAAAAAAAAAATGAATGGAGTATTTTGATAAATGTATTATATGACCAGTTTCAAATTAAAAATTTCAGTCAAGATGTTAAGCATAATTAATTAATTCATTAATTTTTTATTTTTATATATACATTTATTTATGAGTAAACCATTTTAATAATTTTATTATGCATATTAAAGTTACAGCTGTATTCCAAAAAATAAAAACTAACAGCTATACTTACCTATTTGGACAACAGATTTTATTAGAAAAAACCATATAATGAGTGTTCAAACCAATTTTATTTAACCTCAATACTAAAATTTATATTCAAAATAACATAATTTTGCTATATTGCCTGTTAGTTAAATGGTGATAGCAAATGCAGGTATGACATTATCTTAATATCAAAATACGTATTTGCAATAAAGCATAATCATATTGTGGTAAGTTTTAATATGTATTATATATTTATATATATAAACTTGGGCATTATAAAAATGATTTTAATTCTTAAGAACATAGTTAATACTTTCAATTTTTATTTTTATAATTGTAAATATTTGTAAGAAAAAGAATATGTTTCAATTAATTATAAGTTATAAAAAGTAGTATCTTATAATCAATATACAAGCAAATAAAACATTTTGTTGGTCAGTATACAATAAAATCAAATAAAAGAAATATAATAAAAACAAACTTATTTTAATCACTAATGGCTTGTAAATTAGATTTACAAAAATTAATTGGTACAAAAGGAAACAAATCAATTAACGAAAAAAACCAGTATGTGCACATTGTTACTACATATTTATGTTTGTGTCTTTTCTATTACAAATTCAAATTCATTAAAAGCCAAACATCATTATCATGGGAATTGTATTTGTAGCAGTGTAGTATTGTAAGGTTAATATGACTATTCTTTAAAGAATATTAATATAATAAAAAATAGTTAAATTTCAATGATTTAAAATTGCCATCACTCGATAATTTATCTTCTCTTTTAAAAATATTATATTAGTATACATTTTCTCTAAATGTCTAATTAAAATATATACTATAAATAATTAACATGGTATTGTTTAGATTAATATACATTTTTTAACATAATTTTAAAATTAAATAATGAAAAAATGCAGTTTTTGGTATCATAAAGGAATGTGTTAACTAAAATTAATTGTTTTAATAATAATACTAAAAAATAATAATAATTTAGATAAAAAGAGTTAAAGTTAATAATCACATATTTTAAGTGGTTAAAAGGAATGAAACTTTATTCTAAAATTAATGTAGGTAAAGATTGATCATGGCATTTCAATAACAGAATTATGAGTAATTCATTTAAAATATATAATAGTAGATGATAATAATTACCATTTAAATTAAATTTTCATGCCAGGTAAACTCATATTAATAAAAGTAAATATATAACGATAATTGCATTTATCATTTTCAAAATAGTAAAAAAAGTAACTGTTTTAAAAAAATTGTTAAAACATATAAACATAAAGCTTAAATAAGTAAAATAAGCTAAAATTATAATCAGTATAGGAATTCAATAAACATTAAGATTAATAATTGAAATACTGAAACATTAATATTCGCCATGCTAAATTAACGACTAATGGGTTCAATAATATTCCACAAACTCACATATGACCCAAAACCAAATCCAAGAAAACCAATTATTACAATAACAATATCTTTGATAAACATTAATACAAACTCTTTTCCAGAACACTGGTCCCAGAAAGTCATGAGCTCAATAATTGGAGGAAAAATCAATGCTAGTGCTGAACTGCTAAAGGACCCCACTAAAGATATAACTGCTGATAAGTTTGGAATAGCAGCTGCTAACGCGACTGTAAAACAATATTTTAAAATTAGGTAAGTATTCCATTTTATTAAATAGATTTCAAGGTAAAATTATTAGAACCTTGAAAATACAAAATATTTGTATACTTACATGTTAGTGTAACAAGAAATACTCTAATACTCAATTCAGCATAATGCTGAGTAGACTGTGAATGAAAATATCCTTTTAAAGCAGGCCAAACAATACCTATTGGAACATAGAACTGGAGACTATATGACAAGAATATTGCAAATGCCATAGCTGCTCGGACACTTTGTGCTAATCTGAAAAATAAGGTCAATACAATTTTACAGTAATAAAAAATTGAAGAAGTACAATATAGGGTAATTTTGTTTAAATACTAAATGCAACAATAAATTAAAATTAACCATTTGCTAAATTTCATTTGAAAATTATGTCCACAGATTTCGAAAAAAATAACATACACATTTAGTTAATTTGTATAATGAATTTTGTCAAAAATTTGAGATAACTCATATGAAAAAAAAGAGCTGATACTAGGGACGGGTACGGGCACTGTTGTAGGTGTCTACTGAGAAATGTGGGATACATAAAGTTATTTAATTTATATTTGTAACCAACGATAAGCCATATATAACAAAAAATGATTATGATTCAGAAAAGAATTTGGTAATACATGTTTTGAAAGGTCTTAATATTAACAATTTTCATCAAAATTTGATTTCAACTCTTATATATATATAAAAAAAAAAAAAAAATACTACATCAAACTGAATTTTTTTTTTTTTAACACTAAGTATGACCTTTAATGAATCATCCATCAAATGTTCAAGTATTTCTGTTAAGCTAAACAATTAATCTACAGAGTACCAACCAAATAAAAATTAGGTAAAAAACTCACAAAATTAAAATGCTCAAAATTGCTCTAATACTCTGAAAGTTTAACTACGTCTAGGAAAAATAAATATAAGTTCTCTGACAACATTTTAGGTTTCTACAAAAATTTCAAACTGAATAAAATTAAAAAAACAAAATTTAAAATAATAAAGAATTATATTGTAAATTTTCCATATTTTCTACGTATTTTTTGATTTTGCTCAATCATAAAAAAAAAACTACAATAAAAATCAAAAATTGACTTTCTTAGTTAATAGTACGACTAAAGATTCAACAAAAAAAGATCTATGTAAGCAATATTTCTGGTAAAAAATGGAAAGCGTGAAAATTGGAGCGCTATAAATTTTCCAGTTTTCATTTTTTGTTTTTTCCTAGTATTTCTCCCAATAAAACTACAGAGAAAATTAAAAAACTTACTCATGAATTGGATTAAAAATACAAAAAAACAGGGTTTTTGTCGTTTACCTACTGGAGTATTATTTATTACAGTAAACATAAGCCATACAAATTTAAAATAATCATATTTTTTTGCTGTAATTTGAAAAAAATTGTATATTTTTTTTTTTTTGATTTTTCCAAATTATTATAAAAAATACTTTAGATATTGAAAAAAGGATTGTTCATAACAGTGGCTATGTGGAAAAAGGAACAAAAATGATCTCTTGTCATTTTTGGATTTAAGCAATATTTCTGATAGAAAATATTGTGTAAACATAATAATAACAATAAAGTAATGCCATGGGGCGTGCCATAATTACCATTTGACCTATAATTTTCTTTTGCATCTTTTCCAGTTATTTGGAAAACCCTTTGAAAAAAAAATTATCTCCTCTATGCACTAAATAAGACAAAATTACCTTTCATAAAATGTACTATAGTCCAGTGGTCTCTAACACAAATTACCAATGGGCCAATATTTATACGTCAAAAGTTTGAGGGAAAAACACATTTTCGCTACTATTTTTTTTTTACTCATTTTAATACAAAATGTAAAATAAACAATATAAATTAAAGCAAAACGTAATATTTTTATTGATTATTATAATTATAAAACAAAAAAAAAAAAAAAAAAAATCAAAATTTTTGAAGAAATAAATATTTATTTTTATTTTTTTTGGTTGCTTATTTGAAACCACTGCTCATAGTCTATACTCCGAAACACGTTTTTTGGTAGAAAAAAAAATAATTATAGTAATAATAATTATCAAAAGCCAAGAGCCACTAATGGGTGGCTGCTTAATTCACACCTTTCATATTATATTCTACTTTTATCATATAAACTTATTGTGCTAGATTGTATAGATTATTTAAGTCAAAGAATAAAAAAAAGAATAATAATAATTAAGCAGATATTTATTTATTATTCCCACTAGAATTTAAATAAAACAAATTATTAAGGTAATTTTACTTACAAATCTTGAGATGGAAGATTTAAAGTAATACTTCCTAATTTAACAGCATCACCATAGCGCAAATAACCAAAAAATCCTATAGAGGTGTAAAGGCATGTTACAATGACCATTCCAGTATTTAAAACTCCAGTCATTCCATTAAATGCTTCTGGATTTTTCATGTTATTTTCTAACGGTAAAACCTATGTTTAAAAATAATTATTAGTTCTAATGCAATTTGTCTATTTAAAAACTTTAAAATACAATATACCATTCCAATGCCTTCAAAAGCATATACTGCAGTTCCAAAGTAAAGTGGTAATTGATGCCATGATGAAAAAGCTTTAACACTTGATGTTTTCGGAAGTCCTTGAAGTAAATAGAAAAATGTTATTCCTAGTCCAATAACTGTCAATACGGTTGCCAAAAAAGATGCTGGAGTTAGATACTTTAAGCTCTTCACACAATTCAAAAATATCATAGGTACCAATAGTATAACTAAGTACCATTGAACAGACATATAAAAAAAATAATGGGAGATCACCTGAAAATAATTTATTTTATTACTTAGTACATTTTAAATATTTTGTTAAAAAATTTACCTCTTGTAAATTAGTTGCCACAAACAAAAAATACACACAGCAAAAGCCCAGCTGGGTAATAACTAGGAAAGTATTAATAAATTTACTAGCAGTTGATGAATATTTTCTCAACTTGGGTGGTCCATATTCAAAAGCCATTTCTGCAACATTTGGAAATGAAAGAGATGGACTTTGAGTTCTAACACATAGCTCATGAGAACATCGTACCTAAAATTTACATTTGATATTGATATCTATTAAAATAAAGTGTATATATTCATACCAAAATATGCATACAATGTGTGCAAATAGCACCCAAAAGTATGGTACATATTAAACCCACAACCCAGCCAGAGTTTCTGAATGCATCAGGCATAGCTAAAATTCCAGTACCAATATTTCCCTTTAATAAATGTACCATGGTATCAAAGTTTCTAAAAAAAAATAAAAATAAAGTAACGATTAATATGCAGTGGAAACAATTACGTATAAATATTCAAATACATAATAAAAACCAATACATTCTTTTATATTGTTTGACATGATGTATCATCATTAAAATAAATTGGTAATTACTAATTAGCAACATATATGTATATATACAGTGAGTTCTTAAAAAATATAAGATTTAAAAGGAACAAAATATAATTGGATTAATGAAAGTTTATTAAATGATATAAGTAGTGATATCAATTTGTTTAGTTTTGAATTGTTTTGCCTTTATTAAGAAACAATATATAAAATGTGGTAAGTCTTGGTGAACTTGGTATACATAACGATTTTTGCGAATATATAAATTAGTGCTTTAATATAGATAGGTTATAAAAATATGTTATTATTTAACAATAATCTAACTATACTAAAAATAAAACTAGTTTTCTATAAAAATAGTTAACAAATCATACATTAACAAAATCATGTAAATTATTGTGTATAAACTATGACGTATGATTATTACTAGTTATTACTAATTGATATTTATTTATTTATTTTTTTAATATATATTCCTTATTCTATGATGTATAAGAATATATTATAATGAAGATTAACCTTTGTGCACATAGTGATTAGACATTTGTATTAAACAATAAACAAATACATAGTTCAAAAATGATAAGGTAACATGTGAATTACATATCTTAGTGCACGTGTTACAAGTATTATTTTTTTGCTAAGTTCCAATTGAGAACTACATACAAAAATTAAATTCATGTAAATCGAAATAACTTATCTATATGGAATGATAAAAGTTGTAAAAATAATTGTTTTGTTAACTAAGTATAGTAACTAATCTCATATTAAGAACATGCTATACCACCAATTAATATCTTAGTCTAACCACAACAGGAAACATCAAAATTATGTAACTTAGTAAGTATACAAAATTGTATGTTTAAGTTTTAATTAAAGTTTAAACATAAATAATAATTGTTTTTTAAATATTGTCAATCAAAAAATTTAGAACAATACTAGTTTTTGTTTTTTTTTTGAAATAGCTTGAACTTTTTGGTAAGACAATTTTATAGAAAATAGTAAAGTACTAGGTAGCCTGAAAAATACTCTAATTTCAACCTTAACATCACAGTTTATGGTTTTAAATAATGCAATTTTGCATCTTGTTATTTGACTGAGATAATAAATGATTGTATAACCTTGTCTTAAAAAAATGTAGTAATGATCAATATAAACTAATTAAATTTTTCAAAACTTACGATGTTGGATTTTCTAGTTGTCTGTTTAGCAATGGATTATAATCTAATGTAGATTCACCAACATCACCATTTTTTCCTATTGTGTCACTCACTCCAGAAGAATTTGGTGACGTTTTAAATGATGGTGAAAGAAAATTATTTCTGGAATATTTAATAATGTATTAAATTATTGTATTAATAATTAATTATTGTAATAATTATGTATTCAATATATAATATTGTAATTACATTTGTTATGTAATTCTATTACTTTTTTAATTTAATTTTAGATGACAAAAATGTTAAGGTATCTACATTATTAATGATAAGGCAAGTGTCTATTTTATTTTAATGTTATTTATATTGAATTAACTATAAATGTAATTAAAATGTATTACATACTATTGTCAGTACACTTGTTTCCTATGTAAAAATAATATAAAATAATTTAAATTATGGTTAATTTTATTCTTACAGGATAATTCAAATTTTAAAAACAAAAAATATTGTTTTAAAGATTTTTTTATGAATGTAATTGTTTCGACAAACTATTAAAAACTAGAAAAAAGTTATCATATATAATAATATTACAAATTAAATTACCCATTTTGGTTGTAAAGTGTAGTTGTTCCAGTTAATAGTGGTTTATCTTCATTAACTCTTGAAGTTTTAATAGTCATTTTATCACATTCAATCTAAACCATAATAAGAAAATTATATTCAATTTAGCTTATTAAAAACAATAATATTTTATTTAATAAAAAAAAATACTAAAATATTAATGATAACAATATAAAATGATCAACAATAGAGAATTATTTTTGTATCAATAATATTAATAAGTGTTTAATAAATGCCCATAGAACATTAAAATTTAATTCAACTAAGTATGTTATAACCTCTTATTAGTAGGTATAAAAATAACAAAAACATTTTTAAACCAAGTTTAAAAACTAAACTTATAAGTAAATAAACTTACTTTCAATAATTAAAAATAACAAAACCTAAATGTTTAATGCAATAAACTATTCCTTAAAATTGTAAGCAAAGATATGTTAATAGTTTGATTGTTTTAATTCAAATAAAGATTATATTTTATAACTGTACAAAATTAATACCTATTCATTATTTATCTCTAACATGATAGCAGCTTTAATCAATTTTCTATGCATACTCCTACTCCTAAACATAATTATAAACCGCATATGATGTAGTCAAACAATGCAAAAAAAAAGAAATACCTAATGATGAATAAATAATAATTACACCACTATAGTTAAATACAAATATTGTAATAAAGAAACATCAAGATAAATTAATACATTAATTTATTTTGATAAACTGGTTTATTTATTTTAAAAATAATTTCAATTGTATTAATTAAAAACAAAATTATATACAATTATAAATATATCAGATCATGTAGGGGAAAAATTGTTAATATTCTGTAAAAGTCTGTAACATTTTTAAAATGTATTTATTATAATTGTATGACTGACAACAACAATAATGTGGTTATAATAACCACGTAATGCAAGCAAAATTTAGATTTTGAGCAAAACAAGGAATGTATTAATTTTATTATATTTGTAATTTATTTTTTTTGTTAACAACTTATCTTCCATTTTTGCTGAAATAAAAAAAAAAGGACAAGTTGTTTTTTGTATTTTTGATTTAGTTGGTGCTTTGTGGTCTGAGAAGGTCATTTTTAATTTCCCAAACAGTTTTTTTAATAATTGAAAAAAAAATTGACTACAGCAACTTGACAGTAAAAAATATTTCATTATTGTTTTTATCAAAAATCTTAATTTGAAATTCAATTTTAGAATTTTTCTGAGAGTATCCAAGTGTTTTAAGCGTAAATACATGTCATGTTTTTGAATTTTCCTTGAAATTTTCATAAAAAATGGGAAAAATCATTAAGGTTTATAGAAATAATAGTTTCATCATTTTAATTTTTTTTTTTTAATCGTGAAAAATAATTATTGAGACCAACAATTTTTATTAACTGTTTATATTGGTCTTTTCTAAAAATAGTAAAATTGTCAAGACATTCTGATGTTTTTTTTAGCTATATATAATCATTAGATGTTTTCGAGTTTTTTTTTTGTTGCTTTTATTTGGTTTTATGTGGATAAAATTATTTTGGCTGATCAGAAATGCTTGACAATTGTATACAAGCTTCATCATAAGTGGTTAAAAAATAAAAGATGTTATGTAAAGTGTTATGTATTAGTTTTTATTTTGTAAGCATTAAACACTTAGAGTTCAAATTTAAATAAAAATAGAAAAACCTAGACCTATTATAGATTACAAATAAATACAGACTAATATTACAGATTATTGTTAAAAAGTAGTAATAATTTATTTATTTATTTATTTCAGATGAAACATTTTTTAACATGGTTATTATATATAACTGTTAAGTTGTAACCTAGTTATTAGCTAAAATAATGGTTAAACAATTTATTTTTTAATCTTATATCAATAATACATAAGGTATGTTAATGACCTTTATGCAATAAATAGCTTATCTGTAAATTTAACTAATAGGTATTGTTTGTTGTATTAGTATATAAAGTTGTAAACATTATGCATTAAAGCTTTGAAGAAAAAAATTCCAAGCTGATATGGAACATTTGACCTTTTAATGAATTTTCTACCTAATTTATAATGTAAATAAATAATTTGATGAACTTGGAAAATTAGTAAACTACAATACTTTAAGTGTTGTGCAATAATTTATCATTTAAAAACGAATAAATGCACAGGAACCTAGTAGTTATAATACTAATATTTGGGTATTATGTATTTGTATTAATACTAAGCCATTAACTCTTATAATCTCTAAATACATCAGAAACTGCTTATTAGGAACATGGATAATAATTGATACAATTGCGTTATTAAAACAAAATGTCTTGCAACATTAAAACAATGAAAATTAATTGGTTTATTGAAACAGAAGACTATAAGGCGGTTTTGAATCCTCCAATACTTGAACAGGCTAAAACTGATAATGTAGAAGAAGAAAACAGCAAGAGATCCCCATTTTTTGGTGTGTCTTCAGGAGAGCAGTACATTACTGTACAAATGAAAAAGATGGTAAGCAAAATTACTCTTATGATCAAAGAGTTACTAAAATCAAAAAACAGACGTGAATGGATACATTTTTTACACAACATATAAAGTAATTATATAATATAGATACAAAATATAATATGTAATAGTACTTGATACTTTTTTCAATTTGTTTTTAATAGTATAAATAAATAAATACAGTAATTAATCGCCTATTAGAAACAATCAGTTAACTGACATATTTCACCGTAATCCAAGAGTGTTCTTAATAAGCGGCTTCTACTATAAAGTAAAAAAAAATCACTAACTGCGCCTGTTTGTTTATGCACTTCAAAACTACAAAACGAATTTTGATGATTTTCATCATCATTTAGAGAATTTCTTTCAAACAATTTACAAATGTAATATATAACATATTATATTTATAAAAGGTAGAAAAAAAGTCTGTAAAAAGTTGTAAAAAAAAATATTTTGGCACTAACAATGCTAACGCTGGATAAACCTTATGAGATATATCAAAAAATTATGTACTACAGAATAGTATATCTTAAGAAGGTTTATAGAAAATGGCATATATATAATTCTTAAAGATAAACACAGTAATCAAAAATGTGAAAGTTTGTTTGGATGAATGTTTGTTACTCCTTTAAGCCAAAACCACTGAACAAATTGAATTTAAACTTTGTATATATATTATACATATGTATTTCTAGACCAAAATAACTTATAGGATATGTTTTTCCTCAAAATTCCACACAAGTTATATACATACATATTTTCGGTATAAAAGTCAAATTTGTTTTGATTTATAAGTTCCCTTGGTGATACAGTGAAAAAAAGTAAAACAAATAAGTTTAAGGGCTGTTATAATTTTCATGAGAATACACACAACAACCAGTTGTTAAAACTAGTTGCTTAGTACAATGTTGGACTGTATTTCTTTTCGTACGGGAAACATCTGGCAAGACAGCTACCTAGTTACATAATAAAAGCATTTGAAATAATTCATATTACTCACATTAATCACTTGACCTGGGTTCACTGTTTGAACTTTGATATTTTGGTTATCGTTTAAACTAAAGTCTCCATTGTTTTCAGTCTACGTAATACATAAATAACAATATTAACCAATTTTATAGTAATTATCACATCTTCAATTATAGGTAAAGGTGTAATGTGTTACTATAATAGGTATTTTGAGGGAATAACATATTGAAACAATACTTAGTACTTACAGTCATATTAGTTAAAAGATAATATTTTTTAAATTATTAAAACACCACTGTTATAGTTTTCCAGTTTTATCAATGATTTTCGACATAATAAATAATATCTGGACATAAATTCAAATCAATACTTAACATAATCAAAATATTATTAATAAAAATACAGCGATAATGGACACCTAAATCCGTAACTGAGAATAATTTTCTCTCACAAACCACTTCCGTATTTCCGTAGTACAATCACCAAACACCTACTGATAAAAACTCGTCTAAACTATATGGACAATTACAGAAGACAGCAACGTTGATAATGCGCAAGTGCTAAATCCATAGCAACTACACAGTGATTCGCTTAAGTGGAAACACCCATTTCGGAAAGTATCAATTTTTTTTTGGAATTTGTTTTCTAGTGATTTTAAGAAACAAGCAGCTATACAATTTTACATTTATGTTATTTTTTGTCACCCTTATTTTGAGGGTAAAACCACTATCTTTTGATTTTGATTTTTATAATGGTAACATATATTAAAAATTCTATAAGTAGATGGAGTATTGGTTAAAATAAATTTTGGTGTTGACATTTTTATTCCGTTAATCTTAACGAAATCTTTCAATTTTAAGTTTAGATCGAGAGTGAGTAGTGGAGCACAATTAGCGCGGCGTTTTAATATTGTACCATTATTCTTCTTCGACCCAAACTTAAAAGTGGAATAACTCGTTAACAAATTGTCAGAAATAAAAAATGTCAACTCCAAAATGTATTTTAATTAATACTCCATCTATTTAAGGTATTTTTAAAATAGGTTTCCATTAAGTCTGTTTAAAGAATACAATTTACCGACTAAGTTGGTAATTTATCGTGGTAGTGAGGTCGTCAGGACGGTAATCCGAAAAAAAATTCTTGGAAATAAATTCCTCAAAACCACTATACTGACAATAATAACATTTAAAATAATTTACAGACATACTTAGATTTTATTTATATGTATAGATTATCGTCTAATCATTTTTTAGTTACATTACAGACGAAACAAGTAAACAAAAATTCCAGAAAAATAATTTGTTGAATATAATAATAATCACTTGCACTCGTGGTTTTAATAATACTAAACACTATCCATACCGGTTTACACGTGTGGTATTAGTGCGAGTGACAAGTACGCATCGTGTAAACCAGGCATAACTGTGCTGTCTACTGCATCAAGGGAAGCCAGGCATAATGATAATATTTTAGTTAAGTACCAAATATCCCTATGCCATAAGTTATCTATATTATTCTAAAATTAATTGTTTAGAACGATAAATTGTGGAATTGGGAAAACCATTATTTTTAACAGCTGTGTGTACGATATACACTCAAATCATTGAAGATTAAAGTGTATTCAATTTTTATTTTTATACATATAATTTTGACAGTATAGTTGCTTTGGGGATTTTTTTTCCGAGATTCCGTCAGAACGTAGGAAAACATTTCGTGGACACGGTTACTGAAATATCATTAAAGATAGAGAAATCGCTAAAAACAGATATATTAATAAATATGATCCCTGACATGGTAGTTCACGAGGCAGCAACACACTGTTATTTGTGTTTTATAAAGTTTATCCAACTACTGTCATCTTATCAGTAAATTCCGCCAAAGTATGTGTAGCATGTGTAATCTTTAACTGCAAACACGTGTTTTTATTTCGTGTTTTCTACACATCCTTTCGCACTATGATTTATAATTCATAGTAACCTAGTTAGAATATGATACGTAGAAGATTACGATTTTCATTCATCCCCAACAGCGAAGAAAAATGTCTCATACCTATTCCAATAACGTCTCAAACACTTACAATCAGATTCATATACACCTGTAGATGGCTTCGAAACTTTCAAAACTGGCCAACAATTTGCTAACTCCAGACTGCTAAATTTCATAAAACAAGAAAGCATTTTCTGCTGTTGACATAAAACTTGTAATCCGTAAAGGTAGCTTTACGAGTAGTATACGGACGTGTGGAGTAACCTGGATGAAAAAAGCATGGATTAGATGAGACTTCCCCCATCAGTTGGATATACGAGGTAGATGTTATCACATACTCGACACCTGCTTGACACACACCACACATGACTTACAATTTGACATTCCTCCTTCAAAATGATATACCTGTAAGCTCGAAGGTGAAAACCAGGACAACTTCGCATGTGGGTGGGCCACTGTTGTAAGTGGAAAGTTGGGAAGGTAATGGAAGGAAAATTTAATGTATATTTGTATGCAACAATTATCCATTTGGTAACGAAAAAACGATTCTGAGCGAAGTTCAGTTGATAGTGTTACTCTGTCAACAATATATATGTCATATAATCATATTATTGTAAAATAATTATACAGGCATTATATTATATTTTCTTTAATAATATTTGTTTAAAATTGTACCCATTTTCCCGTTTTACATAAGGTTTTCCCATGTTTTATCCCAGTTGTTCCATTTAGTGGGGAAATCAAAAAATTACCTCCATAAAGTACCTTCTCAGTCAATTTTCTTTTAGAAAAAGTGCTATCATTGTAAATTGGAGCAAAATTGCTGGTGTTATTCACAGGAAAAACAAAGTACTGTAATATTTTAGATTCTGAATGAAGTAGATTATGGTTTTACAAAGATGTACATTTTATATACATTTTATTTTTACCGTGTACAACTTTTCTACCAGAATCTTGCTAAGATTTTAAGTGAAAATGTTATTTTACAATTTTTTTCAAGGAGTTTTCACAGTAAATTATAAAAAACGTGAAAACGTATGACCTATAGATATTAGTTGAAAAAAATATTACAGCCTTTTTTTTATTTTTGTAAACAACTTTTCTACCAATTATTTTGCTCCGATTTACAATAATTGATTATAATAATGTCACTTTTTCTAAAAGGAAATCTGAATATACATTCCATATGCATGTATATTGTTGACAAAGCAACAATGCAACTGAAATCCGTTCAGAATTGTTTTTTGTTAGGAATGGTTGCTTACAGATATACATTAAATTTCCCCTTTACTAACTTCCCAATTTCTCACCTATAACAGTAGCTACACCTACGTGCGAAGTTACCTGGCTTTTTTTCAACTTATACCTACATTTCGTACATTTTCCTGTGTTTTCAATTTATTGGGATAACTGGGGAAATCAAAAAAAATGACCTCTCTAGAGTATCTCAAACTGCTACCTAAGCCCTAGAGAAATATATGAATACACCTATTTAAGTATTAAAATCGTTTACCTTATTTCAATAAATATAACTATCATAACTTTTTAAAACTCAACAAATCTTTATAATAACCATAATTATAAATGATACTTACCTACTATAGGTGGGCATAATATTTGTTGCCCACTAAAAAATCTTCAGAATAACCTACCTGTAGTTAACCCTTTGAATTTGTATTTTTTTCAATAAAAGGTGCTAAATAGCAACTATCAAGATTTTGGAGCTCTAAGTCGCCAGGAAATTTCCCAGAAATCTTCCCGTGTTCCTATCTATATTATTTATTTATATGCAGTATCAGTCCAGAGGAGGAATAAATACATAGGTAAGGAGTTGCAAGCATCACGAAGATGATTTTTTTCATTTATTATAATTATTAACAATAAATAAATATTTATTACAAATATTGTACAATCTATTTGTCAAGTATACAAATAAAAGTTTTTAGATTTTTAATTTATGGGGCACACAATTTTTGAAAATCTAAAAAAGGAGAATAGAATTTAAGAGGTTGGGAACCTTGGTTTTTCTTACTACTGATCTAATCTAATTTATCGTCTTACATGTAAGACATGACCTGGTGGAATGCACCCTGTTGGTCATCGTCTGTTATTCATTCTTGCCATTTTCTTTGTCTTATCAACTATGATTATTCTTAAATAGATTCATTACATTTTCTAGATTTCAAATAGCTTTTACTTTGTTTTAAGTCAAACATGTAGTGTTAAGGTTTATTTATTTGGATTTTTACTGTAATCTTATCAATTTGCTGTATTTACCTTGAAATATAACTTGGATTATACAATATTTTATTTGAGTTCCAATAATTTTTGTAAAGTTAGTAATACAATTATTACAATTTGTATCAACCCATCTATCTAACCTAACTTAGGTACCAAAATATTGCAAGGGAAACAACCAGTCGTCATAAAAAAAAAAGAGGAAAAGAAAAATAGATACATAAATATTAAAGAAAAACTTCCGCTAACGTTCACCTCTATATAGCGGTCATTATTTTGGTCCCTTTGGTGACCGTTATATAGAAGTTTTACTATAATTTAAACTGTAGTAAAATTTTATTAGTTAAATTAATATTTAATAATAATAATTCTTACACTAATTTTAATAATAAAAATAAGTGACTTAAAAAAAAAAATTTAAATATTAGATATGTAGTTAATAAATCTATTACGCTATTTTTATCTTGTATATAAATATATGTAAATTGAATTAAGAAAAATAAGAAATATAATATATTTTAAAGTACTTCATGTTGGTACTTAAGTTTTTCATGGACTCAAATAATTGATATTTGTCATATCTTGTGACAATTTATTTAAAAGTTGTTTTATTTTATCTTCATCTTGTTGCCTTTCTACCAATTGATTAGTTAATATATTTTGAACACTAAAAAAATATATTTTAAAATTAAATTTGTTTGTAAACCTAGAAAACTATATTTAATTCTAAAATCATGTATATTGCAAAAATAAATTTTTTCTTTTATGCTTACTTTTGTCTCTTGTTTAGTAAATGTTCATTGGTTTTACTTTCATAAAGCTTACTAGATAATATTTGATTAATTTTTCTAACAGATGTTATCCACCGTTCTTTGAAAAACATACAAGACTGATTAGCTTCTGCATATTTACTCTCTAAATTTGACTAAACATATTTATTTATTTATTATTTAAATACGTGTAATATAATATACATATTTTAAATAAGTACATACAATTTTATTTTCCAAATGTTGTATTTGAATGCCATAGTTGGTATTAAAATCATTTTTTAACTGTTTATTTTCTTTTTTTAATAAAATATTCATTTTTTCTGAATCTTGCAATTTTGTCGTTAGTTCAAAGATTTTATTATTGAGCTCATTAAATGTCTGTCCATTAGAAGACTGAACATTTTGCACTAAACTTATGTATTTATTATCTATACAATCTTTTTTACAAGCTAACTATAAAATATTAAAATTAATTAAATTAAAAAAAACTCAGTTAAGAATACAAAATTTGTTAATATACTTCTAGTTCTTTAGCTGTAACTATAGTTTCCCTTTCCTTTAACATGTCAGCCATTTTATCCACATTTTCAGCTAATGCTTTACATTTTGATATTTCATTGGTAAGATCTTCTTCGATACGTTTTCTATCATCTAACCATTTTTTGTTAAATTCCTTTAACAATTGTTCTTCCTTAATTTTTATCTATACACAGATTCAATAAAAAAAAAGTTGAGAATGTAGAATACAGTTATTATCTATATAATTATAAATCATTGCTAAACTAACAAAATAATATGATTCTGAGCAAAGTTTGGTTGTACATGTTTTGAAATACTGTTAATTGCTTGATTTTTACCAAAATTTGATTTTAAAACTACTCTAAAATAAAAACTACTACTACAACTTTTTTTTTTTACTACCACTCAGAACATATAATGAACCCTATATTAAATTGTCAAACATTCCTGTTCGGTCAAACAATTTTTTTTGACAAAATACCTACCAAATAAAAACTAAAATAATTTGAAAACGTCAAAAATCTTAAGAATGTTTTAAAATTATAAAGCCTCTACAATTAATAAAACAATAGATTAAATTACAATAAATAAGTATGTGACATAAAAAAATTTTATCATTTTTACTATAAGGTTTCTTTTTATTGGTTTTTTCAAATATTACAAAAACCATTGGAAAAATCAAAATATAACCTTCAATGCACCAGCTAGATTTAAAATGAAACAAATGTCTCTTGTTATTTTTTCATTAGAGCAAGATTTCTATTAGTTTGCTCAGACACAAAAATATTAAAAACCATCTATAATAAAACCAATATATTCCTTTTCCTTGCTAAGCTCAGAATCTAAAATCACAGAAATCAAATTCACTTAAAATCCTTTAAGAAAACCACTGAATAAAAGTTTCATTTTCACCTTTTCTTTAAATAAAGTCATTTGTTTATCTTTCCAAACTTCCAATTCTTCAATTATTTTTTGTTGTACATCAGATGTGAATACATTTCTAGTAAAAAATATTGTATCTATTAAATAAATCATAATTTATTTGATTATATGTACTTATATCACTTTAAGAGTACGACTGGGTAATAGACAATTTAACATTTGTTGTACACAGCCAGTCGCTAATCGATTCTCCAAGTATTTAATCACCATTATATACAATAGTTGTTTTGTTGTCTTATCTGTACAACCAGTCATACTCTTAATATGCCTAGAGTACAGAAAACTATAAATATATAATTAAACAATAAAAAAAAAATTACATTGATTCTTCTTTTGTTGGTAAATATTCTGTTTGTTCTAATATATTAACATCACTTTTTGGCAAATCTATTTCAATATTTTCTTTTAAATTTGTATTTTCTTCAACACTTTTATTTACTTCAATTATAAAAAAATAATACATTTTTCTTATTAATGATTTTCACATATTAATATAATATAATAAAAATTGTAAAATGCATAAATACCTCACTATAAAGAGATCATATAGAAATTCTCTTCAGTTGTAAGTAATATATATTAAATTACTTTTTATTAAATTTGATTTATTTTCAACCAAAATATAATATTCTAACATGCACAAGTGTTCAGAGTTACAAGTAAAGTTCTAGATATTATTATAATAGCTAATACCTATATGGTTATTTTACATACCTTTCTGTAAATAATTTGTTTTATCTTTTATGTTTTTGTTATTAATCAATTGCAAGTGTTTAATTTGTTTAGGAGGTGTTTTAATAGTCTTTACAATGAAATCTTCAATTCTTAATGAAATAGTAAGAGTGTAACTACAATTTTTTGATCCTATTAATTTGTAGGATTTATTTTCTATCTAAAATGTTAGAATATTATTAATAACTATTTATAGAATAGAAAAATATTCTAACATTATCTTTTAAATAATGTAAGATTGTTGTATAAATGGATGAGATAAACATTACTTACACGATCATTAGATATGGAATTAATTGTTTGAGCATCTTTTAAATTAAACAAAAGATATCCAAGCTTTTCATTTGAACTAGATTTGTTGGCTGGTATATGAATACATTCGATTTTAACAGATGTATTTGACATTTTTAATCTTAATGGAAAATATTAAATTATAGTTAGTTACACGAAACTGTTATACATAAATAATAATTTAATATTACTTTTTCAGAGTAAGGGTATCTAGGTACCATATAATTTCATTATATATTTTTAACTCATTGTTGTTGACAGGAATTATGGGAGTTTCTTGTTGAATGTTCATTAATGTTGCATGTACTACAATTGATCCTTTGACCAGACCAAATCCATAGGCTAAAACATTCATTTATATCTTAGATATCATCATAAATTGTAATAATATTGTTTAAAAATACTTAATTAATTATACTATTGACTAATGAGTTTTGTTTTATTTGTGATTTGTATAAGTCTAAAGAATACAATTTTTATATTAGAATTAATAATAATAAATTAACATTAAACTACTAAAATAATCTATAATTTATAACGTTATAAAAAAAATCATTTTTGAAATTTTTAACAAACTATGAATTTTATTGTAAACAATAATTTGTGATTAAACACTATTTAGACTGAGCGGAGTGAGGAATTTATTTTACAATGAGGTTTATTATTTTATTTTTATGTGAATATTTTCTACCAGATAGCTTACTCCGATCATCAAGTATAGCACCTTTTCTGAAAGGAAATGTTCTCTGGTGGTACCTTAGGGAGGTCATTTTTTGAAATTCTCATTAATATTTGAGATAATGTGAAACCCTGATTCTTTAGGTTAAAAAAAAATTGAAAGATTAAAATAAAATTATCATTGGCAACCGGTTTTATTTATTTTTTGTTATTAAGTTTTTATTATTCTAAATCTTTTTTAATAATCGTTGTTGTTGTGGAAATGCACATTGTTGAAAAAGTAATACGATAGACCGAGCTATATTAAAATAAAATAAATTTTGATTTCAATATATTCTTTTAACTATTAATCTTTGTACTATATTTTTTTATTCTATACTTAAGCATCATTATCAACTGAACTCCATTCAAAATGGTTTATCCTTGCTTACAAATGTACATTAAATTATCTTCTGTATCATACCTTCCCAAATACCCACCTATAACAGAAGCTGCATCCACGTGTGAGTATGTCCTTTTTTTATTATTTACTACTTCAAATGATTGTTATAATTTTATTTTTCAGAGGAACAAAATAATACAGGGATGGTCTGGCTCCACTATATAACCAAGAAAATCTTGATGAACTGTTAATTAGAATGGCTTATATTTATTTTAAGTTTTTTTGATATTTTTAAGTTAAATACATCTAAAATACATTTGTTTAGTATTTAATTAGTACAAAGTAAATTATTAATTCATTTTTTTTTGCTATACAAAAATATTTATATTTCAGGTCGTAGCTTAGGGGCACAGGTGTCTATAATTTAATTTTGAGGGGAAGGATCAGATGAAATCACATTTGCAACAAGTTTTTAATAACTAATATATAGATAGATAGATATATATCGATATAAGAACACAAAACCTGTACGGTTTGGTCATGTTATAGAACTATAATAGGTCCATTGCAAGAGGGTGAATCATTGTGATTTTAATATTTTCCAGAGGGGAACTCTAAAGGTGAGGCAGAGATTTAGACCCTCAATTGAAATTTTTCAAAGTAGAATTTTTTCGCAAAATGCTAGGACAAAAAATTGATTGAAAAAAACTGTTAGATATCATAAAATTGTATTTCAATTAGTTTTGTGTAATTATTGTAAAAATATAGTTTGCATAAAATAGTTTCCTGACTTGATTTTTTCTGCCAGACCATCTCTGATATAACAGCATAAAAATATTCAATTAATATATATATATATTTATTTATAAAGATGATAAAACAAAGCATTTATAACCAAATCAGGTAATAATAGGTCAAGTGTCATAATTTTTTCTTTTTAAATGTAGGTACATTCCCTAATTTATATTTACAATAGGTAATCTTTATAATTATATGTCTAAGTTGTGATGGTATGATGGAAGTTGGAGCCTCGTGATACTACTACCTAATTTAAGTATCATCAAGGTTTTTTACTATTAAAAAAAGAAACATTTTTTATCGATTACTACCAATGTGTAAGTACAATGTTTTTCTTGCCATTCGTCTCCATTCTAACTATTTTGGGTCGGCTACCTTCGTCCCAAAATTCCATTTTACCTGATCTCCCACATCATCTTTGGATCAACCACTGACTCAATATCATTCACAATCACATCCAACTACTTCATTTTTGGTTTTTCTCACTCCTCTTTTTTCTATGTTTATTTTTATTATAATTTGTATTGCTTCTGATTTCTCTGTCCTCATGACATGCCCAAACCATCTTAGTCTCATTTTTTCTCATTTTGTCTATCAAAGATACCTCTTACATACTCATTCTTTATCTTAAACTTTAGTAAATACAATATATTTCTATATTAAAATAATTATCTGTGCACATTGTAAAAGTATTATTTATCAGCGTATTGGCTGACAGTTGTAACAATTTACACATAGACATGAATAAAAAATAACTTCTTTGCTAATTTGACATTAATTTAAATTAAATGTTCTAACCTGAAATTATATGCAAAATTATCTTTTTATTTGTTCTATCTATTCCCTGTAGTGAGTTTGTCATTGTATAGTTGCGATGATTTGAAATATCTCTATTAAAATTTATATTTCAACATAATGCAATATACTGTCGTCTATCTAAGAAATAAGTAGTTCTAAACAATATCATTTGAATTTTCCGTTGAATGTTAATGTTATTGAATATTTTCAATAATCATTTACAATTATTATATTTTAAATAAATCGTCAAAACAATATCGGACTTAATTAACAAATTGTATTAGGTAGTTTACATAAAATAATTATTAAAATAATAAATATCACTGATATTGAATTAAAATTGTTAGTATTATCTGTTACATTTTCGATTTACTCATACGTAAAAGCAAATTAGCTTTGATAATTCAATATTTGATTATGAAATACTCTTTTTTTGTATATGTTTATAATCAATGGTAATAGACATATACAATGCAGTGTTACCATATTTTAATTTTTAAAATAACCAAATTAAATGGGGACTGCCTAATTTGTTGAACTGCTGAACTGGGATCAACTCATGTGTATGTATTAATAAGTAAATAACTTTTCATTGTTTCAGAACAAAAATTAATAGATACTCTATGGTTCAGAATACTGTACAATAAATTAGTTAACAATCGGTTATTATTTATTTTATTGTTCAGTTATCAAACTGCTGTTTTTTTTTAGCTGCCTTTCCAGCAGGTACCTACATACAATATAATAATAAAAACATTTGAATTTTGAAGTTTCATAAATGTGTACCTATGGTAGTATTTCTATCAAGAGGTAACTTATTGAATACCTATAGGTACAAAAGGTAAATAAAAATAATTTTGTTAGAATTTACTTTTTTTTTCTGAAAAAACTTAGTGTACTGTCATTAAGGTTTTTATTAAATTTTTTTCAAAATTTTCAATACAATAGTATAATAGTAAATACTGACATCTAGACATTGCACGAATCCCTCCATATTTTAATTTCCCCTGTATTCTACACGTTGTACTGCACCCATCGCTTGTATTCGCTTCCAAAAATACTGACATCTAGACAAGCTTTACTCCCGGTACATAAATACATATTATGCACAGTGCTAACTCTAGGGAAGGGCAAGCGGTGCAGCAAATTATGTATTCCAATTTTCCGAATATCACTTTATCTATAAACAATCACAATAATATTGTACCAATAGTAGACAAATTTCGACCTGTGTGTTATCGACGAAAATCAAGATGATACCAATTATACATAATTAAACACATTGTTATTGGCTTCAAAACACTCAAACATTTTTTATCAGCATCGAACATACTATTGCCGATTCATTGAGCTACAATTAGATAATTGACTTGTTTGCATCAAAAGATCACGAAAATAAAAAAATTTAATGTTATGTATTATTAGTTATATTACAATAATCTATGTTTATTTTTTAATTTAAAGTAAAATATACTTATTAAGTCATATTTGTGTCATCATGTTCAATAAAATAAAATTATGAATTAACTAGCTGTTCCACCCAGCGTTGCCCGTGCCACTTTTTACTCATATTCCTTTTTGGTTTTGACCGTGTTAGTAATAAATAATAATAAATAAAAACAAATTGGTGGAAATTAGGTAGTTCACCTTCGGCAGGCTAATAGTTTTCTGTTATAACATTTCTTCATGAAAGACAGAATTTTATTTCCGTATACTATCGGGGAAAACTTAAAAATGATTGTGAGGCTGTCCCGCTCAGCGTTGCCCGTGCCATTTTTTATTTTTTTTTTTTTTGGATAAATTATTTGGTGTATAAATTACTGTCTTACTGATGAAATTACGTGAAGACAGTTTATGACATTATATTTTATTACATAAAATAATATGGCACATAGATCTTTAAAACTATTTTTATTTATATTAATTACCATAGATACGTTTTGACCAAAGTTTTACATTTTTTTTTCATTTCATCCGTGTAACCAGGGCCAAATAAAACCCAATCATACTCCTAGGCACATATTTGTTAATAGTCCATTGTAAAGTCATCTAAATGATAAACCTATACAATTTAAAATTATTATATTACTATTATATTTTAATATGTTTAATTTCGGGATATTATTTTGTATTACTAGAAATAAAAATAGCTATTGTTATTGCGTAGCCCTAGGTACGTGCCTACCTCGCCTATACGTTAATCCGGGCTTGCGTGTAACTAAGGTTATCCATAATAATAAATAATTTAATAATACCTAAAAACCGAATTAGAATACTAAAATCATGATTAAAAAATAGTGGGTGGGATTAAGAGGGTGAAAAATATTCTACGACTTATTCTCATACCTACCAAATATAAAAAAAAATTTCATTAAAATCGGTCATGCCGTTTTGGAGTGTGACCACAAACACGTGACACGAGAATTTTATACATAAGATAAAATTTTGTTTGTACCTAAATAGATACTCACTTTGTGTTAAATATAAAAATACAAATTTGATTTAGTTTATATATACTATGTAGGTACAAATTTAGATTTCTAACAAGACCTTAAAGTTTACATAGATTAGATGAAAAAAAGACGGATATACTTCGCAAGTGGGCGCAGCTAGTGTTGTAGGTAGGAAGTTGGGAAGGTAGAATACAGACGGTAATTTTATGTATATCAGCCATAAGCATCGATAAACTATTGCTAACGGATAAATGATTCTGAGCGAAGTTAAGTTAATAGTGTTGCTTTGTCAAAAATATATATGTCATATTGTAATAAAATGATTACAACAGTATGTGTTTCCATGACAAAAATGATTTTTTAAAAAAGATTAAAATAATAAAAACTTAATAACAAAAAATAAATAAAAACAGTTGTCAATGACAACCTTATTTTTAATCTTTCAATATTTTCTAACCTAAATCATCAAGTTTTTCTCATTATCTCGAATATTAAAGAGAATTTCAAAAAATGACCCTTCTAAAGTACCACCCAGATAACATTTCCTTTTAGAAAAGGTGCTATACTTGATAACCAGGGTAAGATTTCTGATATAAAAAGTGTTCACGTAAACAAAAAAATAAATAAGTAAATATAATAATATAAAATCAATACATTACTTGTTTCACTCAGAATCGAATAAATTAAGTCCGTTAGAAAATAAAATAAATAAATATAGATATATTTATATAAATATATATGGGGCCCCGCAAAATTCTGCACTCGGCCCCGAAATCTATCAGGCCGCCACTGATACATACATATATACATATAGACGTTAAACTGCATTCAGTCTTAGCGAATTAAATTTCTTCATATCTTAATTTCCTCTGTATTCAGTATCATAATGTATCATACACATTATACTGCATCCAGTTTGCCGAAGGCGGATTATCCACCCGCCGACTCTATCCACTACAATCTCCTGCGTCTTGGAATACTTTATCCTGTATCACAGGAGTACCTGAGGCCTATAGGAGCGGAACTGTTGAACCTTGTAAAAACAGATGTCTAGACGTACTTCTTCCGTATCCTTATTCCCTTAGTATCCGAAATGTGTTTTCCCTTCTCCTGTATCTGATTTACTCCTGTATCCTACCTGATAAGTTTTGACTAGCAGTTCCTAATTAAAACATGAAATCATTTGAAACTGTTTGGAAATTTGGCATAACAGCAAGCGTTTTAAGATAAAATTGGTATAATAATCAACTAAAACCAATTTAAAGTTCAGACTGAAGGAGTAGGATGTGTAATAAATTGCTTATAATATATTCTATCACGGCCTAAAACGGCCGGAATCGTAACGCCTAATAACGTGGTATCTAGACTTAAAAGATTGGGGAAAATCGAAATGGATAAATCACATACAAGAGGTTAAATGGAAATTGAGAAAGGAAATGAAGATACTAGAAGTAAACAAGGAGTACAGTGCATTTTTCAGCCAGTCGGAGACTGGGGAAGCGCTAAAGAAGGTCAAGATAAATTAAGCGGCGGGTTTTAACGGTATTTACCCAGAAATGCTAAAAAATACTGGAACTGAAACACAATCATGGCTAGCAGAATAATATAGTGACATATTAAACACATCAAAAATACCTAATATTCTTAAAAAGTCAAAAATAATAGATCTACTTAAACCTGGAAAACCTAGTACTGAAGCATCAATTTATAAATCCGTATCACTCCTTAGTGTGTCATATAAGTTATTAGAGAGATTAATAAACTGAATAGAACCAACCTTGGATAAACACATACCAATAGAACAAGCATATTTCAGAAATATCCGTGGATGTATAGAACAGGTCTTAGCGCTCACTACAATGATCTAGGCAGAATTTCAGAGAAAGCTGAAAATTAAAGTTGCGTTTATTAACTTATTTTCTGCATACGATACATACGAAACGGCATGTTAGTCAACTGCAGGTTCCAAGTGTTTATGATTGAAAGAAAAGTAGGTGGCACTCGGTGAATAACGGATTACTAAAAGGATCAATACTAGCCCCAGCGCTATTCAACTTATACATTGATTAAATATACAATGTATATTTAATCAATGACTTATATATACATGCTTTACCACTGGCCAAAAATTCCAGTTTGCAGATAATATTGCCATAGTACACACTTGTAAAGATATGAAAGAAGGTAAGAATATCCTAACAAATGATTTAAGCATCTTGGAAAGATACTTTTACAAATGGAGGCTAAGACCAAATTCAGATAAGACAGAGGAATGTGGATTTCATCTTAATAATAAAGAAGCAAACAGGGAACTTAATGTCCAGTTGGAGGGAGTAAAAGTTAACTATAACTTTACACCAAAATATTTGGGAGTAACATTTTATCGATTGTTGATGTTTTGGAATCATATTGAGAAGTTATAGAAAAAACTTATAACAAGAGTGAACCTAGTGCAGAATCTGGCTGGAACTGGATGGGGGGTAGATTCTACTATTCTGAAAACGGCAACAATCGCGTTAGTGTATTCTACAACGGAATATGGAGCTCCAGTCTGGTCGAATAGCGAATGTGGAAGTATTTAAATTTTTTCCTAATTTTTAGTTTATTAAACGATTATTAAAAAAAAAGTCGTCTAATGATTTTGAAAATTTTATCACATCTAGCTAAGTTCAATATAAGTATTATTACCAAGTTTCAAGTCTCTACGTATATTTATAACCGAATTACAGTAAAAAAAATTCCTAAAAATTATAACTCTTTAAAAGCTCAATAGTGGTTCAAAAGTTTTGGTGATAATACCGTAAGAAATTAATTCAAAAAGATAACAAAAAAAGAAGCTTGTAATTTTTTAATTAAATCATTTTTTTCTGGTAGAAAACGTCCGTGTTTTTATAAAATAATGAAATCGTGAAATTTTACGTTTTTTTCAGCTTAAGTGCTTTTATTTAAAAAATGGCGTCAAAAATAAAAAAATGACTCTAAGAGTGGAATCTAGATAACTTGAGCTTTCAGAAAAGTTGCTACATGTTAAAATCGGAGCAAGTTTACTAGGAAAAAACGTGTCTATTAACTAGAACCAAGAAACATGAAGTAAAAGTAGAAATAAACAGCATTATAAAACCGAAAGTTCTTTGGCTATGCTTGGAATCTAAAAAAAAATTAATTAATTAATTAATACATGTTCAATGCTGCGAATAGATAGACTCACAACTATCACCAGATAGATTTTGCTATAGATATCTATATCGCCATGTTTGCAACTATACATACACTTTTTTTTACTTTTTACTACATTTTTGATAAGGAATACATTACTAACACCCACAAATAATACGTATTAGTTAGGTATTATCTATAACCCATGGTCTTAGATTTACATTATCAGAGTAGTTTTGATGTCGATAATCGTAACTAGTATCATGTAAGTCATTTGTACTAACAACAACATATCGTATCTCACTTCAGGTTTATGTTTTAAAATTTTGTTGTCAATGAATGCTGTGTATTTCTGATCACCCTGTGGCCTGTTAACTGTAATGTAATATAGTTTCCTACAGGACATCTGCGATCTGCCATTAATTTTTTTTAGGATTATACATTTTCATCCATTTCAATCCGTTGAATTTTCTCGTTACTTTTCGCTATGGTAGCGTTTTCGGGATCTGGTGATTCCAAACAGGCGACTAATGCCTACAAAGACAAAAGTAAACCAGCTGAAATCAGAAAAAGCAATATTACCGCTGCCAAAGGTTTGTCTTGGATATAAATAATCAACTTGTAAAATAAGTTTATAAAATTAATATGTTTTTATGTATTAGTTTTGAAATTCTAGCTAATGAATATACCTATTATATAATACTAGTTCTCCTTTGATACTGTGTTTGAATTTTGGCTCTTGGAGTCAATAAATTGCCTATATTTTTTAGACTGATGGAATGAAAAATCTATTGGTGTTTTGCTATGATGTTAAAATTTTTTTTATCTGAACAACTTTTCTACTGGCAATTTTGCTCGGGTTTTAATTATAGTACTTTTTTTCAAATGAAATCTGACTGGTGGTAAATTGGGGAAGACATTTTTTGATTTTCCTAAGAGTTCCCAATAAATGGGAATAGATACATTATATTTCCCTTCTATTATTTTAACTTCTCACCTACAACAATGACCCACCCATCGTGTAAATTATGTCCGTATATTTTTAGTTCTGTTCCCTTACTTGACTAACAGTCAGTAACTAACCAGACTGCAGTCAGAATTTCCATTCAAAAATGGCCCACAAAATTATGTGAGATTTTTAATTACAAAAAGGGTATGCCACTATATTTTTGGTGGAACAAAGTGACTTCATGTTGTCACCTAATATTTTATGTTCATACATTTTTGGTTTTTTTTCTCCTTGTCACCTATTCAATGTTGTTTTAGATAACAAATAATAAACAATAAACAAATTGAGTGGTGTGGGAAAATACATTTGTTCCTTAATTTATAATAAGTAATATGATGAATAGGAGATTTGAACATAAAACAACTCCAGATTTTTGTTAAAAACTTATTTATAGTAAACAATTTGAAGTAAGTAGATAATAATTATTACATTTCTATTTCTAGCTGTTGCTAATGCCATCCGTACTAGTTTGGGTCCAAAAGGAATGGATAAAATGGTAAGTATCATTTATTAAAATTATTGTATTTTAGTGTCTATCATATTTATGTAATTTTGAATGACTTTTCAAAAATACGTTATTTCCTAAGTAATTTTTTGTACTTGAATTTCTTAAAGTCATAATTGTAACATTTTATTTTATTGCAATCAATTAGAAAATTAAGTTAAAACTCTTAAGTCTTAATTAATATTAATTCTTATAAATTTTTATTTTTGTTTATCAAATACAACTTCGGCAGTATTGGCTATTATTTTATAGGTAATAATTAGGGCTCGGACTATATGAATTTAAATTCCATAGAAAATGGTTTAAAAATGTTAAGAGAGCTCTGAATAAAATTTTAAAATATTAAAAGATAGAAGGGTTTAAAATTCCTACCCCCAACCACCTAACTATTAAATGTGATTATCTAACACATGCAATTTTCTTGGTGACAAGTAATAACAATTTTTTTTATCAGGCATCTGTTTCATTGAATTAAAAAAAAAAAAAAGTAGGTACAATAAAACAATATTTTTGTGGTTTATAAAAAAATGCAAATATCATGTATTAAATTATATAAAAATTAAAAAATTAATCATATATATTGTATAATATATAATTATGGCTGCCTTGGTGTATGCTCTCTACTGCAGATTGCGGTTTACCAGCAATTTTGAGACTTATCATTTCAGTTTTATCACGCTATTTGTCATTATGATTTAATAGTAATGAAAATTAGTTCTCTCTTTCCGTTCATTATTATTTAATTTATGAACTCATGTAATGTGTATTTTTTTTTATCATAAATTTAGTCAATATTTACAGGTTCATACATTATTTTTACGTTATGTTTCAAAATGTTAGTAAAAATTTTATTATGTACAAAACTAAGATTTGGTATTAGGTTAGAAGGAAGATGACTTGATGAATCATAGTTATTCAACTTGTGTGACAATCATGAATGTAGGTATTTTATCATGTTATAATATGAAAACTTTTTTTTTTTTAATTAATAATAATGATTGACAAGACCATGGTGTACTGTTGATAATATATAATTGATTTATCATCATTTTAACATAGCAAAAACTTCTTAAACATGATCCACTTCTTACTAAAAAAATGTGTCAAAATATCGCTGTAGAGTGCGCATACTGCAGTTGCAATTTTAGTGGTAGAGCACATATGACAAAAAAAAAACTAATTATTGTGTATATTATTAATAAAAATAAATAAAATATTTTTTTTTACTTTTTGGCGTTATCTTTTTTGGTTTTCTTCACATAATGAACCAGTTTTTAAAAATGATCTGTTTTTTGTTATATAAGTTAGTTCATAGCACAGATAATTATTTTCTTGAGAATTTCAATAGGTTTAGCTTAAGAAATTAACATTTTTTTTTTATTATTGGTAAAGTATCGGGTCCGACTGAATACTAGCAACAACTTAAGAAAATACTTAAACAAATTTGGAATATTTATTTTACAATAACTATAAATACATATATTTAAATTGATGTTTTTTGTTTAGATCCAGTCAGCTAATGGTGAAGTAGCCATAACTAATGATGGTGCTACAATTTTGAAACAAATGAATGTAATACACCCTGCAGCAAAAATGGTAATTATAATTTTTGAATGTAGTATATATATATTAACTTTTTTTTGAAAAAAGATAACATCTCAGTATTATAATTATTTTTCATTAAGTAGGGTAATCAATTTTTAATAAAACATCTCGAAAAGTATCTTTCAATTATTTTTTTTACCTTTTAATTTTTAAATTTTTACTCATACTAAAACTTCATTTATCTATGTATGTAATTTTTAATTTTGGTTGCTATTTTATAATCAAAAAAGTATAGTTGTTTCACTTCAAAAATAATGGCAGTGTAATATTTTAAAGCGTTTTGTTTCAAAAATTTCCAAATAAAATTCTGAAAGGTCTTTCCTTTTTTTTTTATAATAAGTGTCTTATCAATAGTCATCTGTTGTACTTAAAACATAATAATTATAATTTAAAGAAGTTTTTTAAAACAATTCACCTACTAATTATCTTGTAAAAATAAATAATTATTTATTTGCCTATTTTCCACTTTTTAATAAATGTATTGTAGTGCTTAATAAATAATAATTAATTGTGAATTTAGATTCTGACCTTGGCAAAGAAATTATTAGTTTTATCGAGATTTTTTTTTTCTTAAAACATTGCTTAGTAAAAATGCTCTGTATTGTATATGTGAATATTTTGCCTGATGTATCAAAGTTCCTTATTTTACAAAGAAATTTATATTTATTTATTATTTTTCAGCAATATTTGTTAGGTGAATGCTCAAATTTTTTATACAGTAGTTCAAATCATGTGGAATTTCCACCTGATTGTATTTTATATGAAACGGCAAAGTTTCAGCAGTTCATTTCCTAGTTTTTTTTTCGGTCTGATATAATATCAACTTTTTTATGTTACTTTTGAATTATTGAAATATTAGTTCATATAAATATAGACCATATTGTTAACATGCCAATTATGGAACATTATATTTAAAAGTATTATGTTGTATTTATTGTCTATTTCAATCTTATTTAGGTTTAATGTTAATTGAGGTAGTGCTGATGCTTGTTTATTGTCAGTTGGCAACTAGGGTTGTCCTTATTTGTTCATTTTTAAGTTTAATCTTGAATTTCAATATTTTTTTTTATCATCTGCTGAAACATAGTAAAATGATAATCATATCCATAAGAAAACCCCTATAATTGTTTCATGTGCATTAGTATTTT